TAATGTATAATGAGCTACATGTGACTGACTAGCACAAAAGGTTTACTTCTGCTGTTCATATAAACAGTACTGAAAGAGCCTTAAAAGGTGATCATGACACCAAACAAAAATGTCAACAGAGTATATGATGTGATATGATCTGTTGTCGATACAAAGGAGAGTCCTAATCATCTGTCAAATGTCCAGACAATCTGCTAAGTAGGCATCAAGGGAACCATTTGTGAAAACTACAGGTTCAAGCAAAATGGCCGAACTGACACATACTGTACAGTAGCATACCTTTGTCAAAATGCTCCCCATGAGGTCTTAGTAAAAATCAAACATCTGCCATGGCCAGATGTTCTATAAAGCATGATGATTAACTTAACAGCTCTTGTGGGAGACTTGATCTTTAGTTTACTGTACATTTGGATTTTTTCTGCATTTAAATCCAATGCTCTCTTCCAGCCACAACATACTTTGAGCTTAAGAATTTTAATATTAATTATACTGTTATTTTGTTTCTGTGCTTCAGAAACGTTTATGACTAAATTTAAAACTATGAAATTTTAATTAAAATTGAAAATACTGTATTATTAAATAAATACCATTTTGTATTTTTCCACTACCATTTATAGTGGAAGCACAATTTTTAAAAACACACAGCAGCGACTGCCTTTTAAGCACTGTTAAGAAATAATTGCTGAAATAAACATAATAAAGGGTCTGTTAGTTTGTCTACAGTTTGACTTAATTTAACAATGGTGTGAAAAAATGAATGTTATAGTTTATTTAATCGGTAATAAATCTATGAAAATAAATGTTGTGCCTATCTCGCATAGAAATGCTGGTACAGTATTTTAACGATTTTGGGACTCTTGACATCCTTCCTATGCAGGTTGTGCTGTCAGCACTTTTATTGTTTGTTTTGGAAATATGTACATTTGTATGTATGAGTTTTCTATGAAAACGTGACAACTCATTCATACTTTTGTACTTTTTCTGCTGAATCAGTTTGTTTACCAGTGGGCTGCATTGCGGCAATTCAAATCCATCCTTTGAGACGGAAAATAATCTTTTTTTTCTGTTCAAAATCTGTCTATGAAGCCTTATCTTCTTAAATGCTCAGGATATAACATACTATACATACAGAATTAGTTGATTCTGCTTCAGAGAACCTTACATAATCTCTCTGTATGATTGTTATGGTCAGATCTAAACAGATGGGCAAGGCTTTAAGGCAAAAAAATGTTAGCTAATTAAAAAATGTGCAGTCTCCTGTTTGTAAATGTGCATAATAGAATAGCATACTGCTAGTTCTTAAGATGAGCATTCCAAAACGCAGCTCTTCATTATTATTATTAATTTATTTGGATAACAAGTACATCAAAAATGACTTCATATTTATACATCTGGCCATTGAAATAATCTGAATATGGTTCCTCAGCTTTGCCACATTCTGATATCAACATTATTATCTTCTGCCCTGATTTTGTTGGATCTTTGGAATTATAGTAAGTTCTGCTGTGCCTGGTAAATACTGCAATGGAAGATTGAAAAGAAAACTACATCATTGCAGTATGGGATTTTGGTAAATCTGTAAGTGGTACTCTTTCCTGTGGACCAGAATCCAGTTTGGAGTTTTGACTACTTGGTCATGAAAGATGGGATCTTGCACTTTTTGTAAGAAAAGGGGTATTAAAACCAGAATCAAGGACTATTCTGTGCTTTCACAATAAATAGTCCCCCATTAATTCAATAAGTGAAGCAAATCACTTTTCTACCTGATCTACTTTGTAAAATTAATAGCTAGGTAGTCAGGACATTGATGGTACACCTACAACATCAAATTGACCATACACTAGGTGGGTACATGTTTGTGGTCCAGGAGGAAGAGTGCCATCTGCTGCTCTACTGAAATCACTTGCAACCACCTGCTCTTTTTTTCTTGGCAGTCTCCCAGTGCAGTATTAACCAGACACAGCCTTACTTAGCTTTTGAGAACTGGCATGATCAGCCTAGAAGATGGTAACACTGCTATCTGAAGTGATAGTAACGAAGCATTTCAGATTGCTTCAGTATACTGCCCAAATGTATCAAAGGGTACAAATGTACATCATTTTGGAAACAAATGTCAGTCTAAAAATGCATTGCATTAAGGTATTAATAAATTTGGAGCACACCATGTACTTGAATCTATAGGCAAGAGTGTAGAGATTTCTAACCGTCTCTTTTGCTGAAGGTCATTGCTTTATGACAACAATACAGAACCAATGTATTTTTTTTCCAAGCACAATCAAACAAAAGCATGCTTCATAGCTTTGAAAATTTAATTTGTCTGTGTTTCAGGGAGCTTCCTAAATTTTTCAGTACTATAAATGTTTTAAAAATAGAACTCTCAATATGATTGGTATAACATTTTAACTCACTGGGCCTCAAGATCAAATCTTGAACACTGCCCAGCTATTCCAAGTCTCATCTAAAGTATTAACATGCTGCTTCAAGGATTAGTTCTAGCCAGACATATTAAAAAAATGATACGGCAGACTATGCTTAACGTCAGTATTACATAATCATTGATATACCAGAGAGAAAGAAGTAGCTTGTGAACTCAAAGAGACTTAACTCTTTGATATTCATGTTCAGAAACATTGCTGTCCTTGATTAAACCTGTTAAACTTACAGTATGTGAAACTGAAGATGAACAATTCTTGAAAGCAAATCAGAGCAGCTATAGTATCTAGCTACAATGTCATTAGACTATGTTTTAGTGTTTAATTAAATCCCACATTTAAATTTAGAAAGAACTTTTGAATGTTAAAGAATCTATTTTATGAAATCCAAAATCTCATGGTTAAGTTTTGCACTCCGATATTAATAGATATGACTCACTTCAGCTGTAGTGAAATCGACACACACTGGACACTTACAGTAAGAGCTAAACCAGAAATCAACAGCCCCAGGCCAGATACAGAATGTGAGGCTCCTATGGTTAGTTTTCAAGATGCGCACCAGTCTTTCCTGAGGTGATGCTAGATACTATAAAAAAAATTAGATCAAGGCAAATGATGCCAAAGGAGCTGAAAACTGTAACACAAACAAACTGAAGAAATAAATGGGATAAGTCAGTGCAGACAAAATAAGTAATAATCCAAATGCAATTGGAGTCCTAAGGCTTTGACTTTATATACAATATTTCCATGTAGAATCCAAGAATAACCACAAGAACAGTCAAGCATTCCACATTCCATGTGGAAACCAAGAATAACTTCAAGACAGCTCTTTGTGACCTAAAAATCAAACAAAGAACATTCTTTTTCAGCATGTCAGGTATCAGGTATAGAATCTTTCAAACTTTTGATGTTACTGAAGTGTAAAATATTAAATAAATTCAAATCCAAAATAAAAAAGTGCTTTTTTAATTGTATAATCAACACATTTTATGGTACAGTATACTGTATGCAGTATATCAATACACTGAGAACACTTTCGAAAAACATTGTTATCGAAAATTATTAAGGGTTCTTGTACCTCTCTGAGAAAAGTTTTTCAGTGGTAAAACATTTTGATTCCTATTCCTTTACATTTAATTACTTCAGTTTTCTAATTATTTGCAATACTGCAAGACTAGTTTCACGTATTGTTTAAGAACAAATGAAAATTATTAAATAAATTCAATTTGCATTAAATACATCAATAAATAATCAGCAGAGAGAGTGAGAGAGTGAAGAATAAGCAGATATAATAATTTATGTTTTCTTAAGAACATATTTCATTAGAAATATCTTGCTCTTCATAGCATTTGATATGTGGTCCCAGGAAATTCATCTAATTCATTATTAATATTTAATTACAATTAAGACGGATCTATTTCACATGAAAACAACATGATGAAACAATAGAAATTTTTCTTTCTTGACCAACTTAAAATGTCCTGAACTTCTGGATTTAAATATTTAAATAAATGTATGATATAAGGAAATCAAGCTGTACAGTAGCCAACCTGGAAATAATACAGTATTAATAATTAGACCATTTTTATGCAATGCACAAAAGTGAAGAAAACGCAGCTTTTAGATAAAGGATTTTTTACTCAAATTCTCCGATAGTCTTTAAAATAAAAAAAAATATATAGCGCAGGTTATATGTATTTTAAAACACTCTTGGAAAAATCTTCCATTATGTAAAACAAAATTGTTGATTTAACCAACCTTTTATACTCCAATGGCTACCTCTCAGTTTTCATACTGTATACAGTATGCAGATACAGAGTACTTTGTAATCCTCTTGGGTTGCATCAAACACTCTGCCATGATTATTCTGGGAAAACTGTTAAAAATAAGCTGTGAATCTAACCAGTGGGGACTGTCTGGCACTGTAACATGAACTAATATAACCCAGCTTTTAATTTATTTTAGCAAAACAGAAACATACAGTCTTTCAAATTAATCATAACACACTCTTTCCATTTGTTGTACATACTGTATCACATCAAGCCTTTGTTAAACTGGCAATAAAGACTACTGTATTGATTATCTAGCATTACTGATGATGACTTCAATACTTTCAATTAAACAGACAAAAGAGAGGCCCGGAGCTATGGCTCTTTGGATTTTATTTTTCTGACTGCATCGTTAAACACAAACACATCAAGCCTGTGATTGCATAGCCATTTTTGTATGTAAACGATGAGTTACAATTAGTTACTAACAGCATTCAGTAAAAAAAAGTGAGAAGACGCACGAACTCTCCAGGTCCAGGGTTGCAGATGCCTTATTACCCAATGAGACAAAAAGAGACAGAAAGGTACCCATCTGACCTAACCCACTCTGACAGAGTTGCCATGGTGATACAGTTGGGAGGACATCCTATGACCAGTCCCTGGAGCTACTATGACAGGGCAGTCATCAACACCTGACACAAGACTATCTCATTAATGAAGACATGCAGTGAAAATATCAGACACCATGCTAGTAAAGTTTTCATAAGGTGTTAAAAGCCTACAGCTTAGTCAGTGTTCTTAAAGAATATTAGTGTTGAGTTTGGCTTTGGTTTTCAAAACAATTCAGAGCGAGGTGCAAGGTAGGCTTGTGTACAGTACCTTAAGGCTTTGGAAGATACTGTATTTACAGCTAAAATAAGATTAATGTAATATGGCTGCTGTAGTTATGTTGAGTGTCTCTTGAAAAATTACAGAAGTCAAAGAAGAAATAAAAGAATTAGGAGCTCCTTTATTTTCCCATGTACAGCATGTAAAATAGAAAAGGGCTGATGAAGACATGGAAATAAGGAATAAGATCACAGACATCTTATTCCTTATTTCCATGTCTTCATCAGCCCTTTTCTATTTTACATGCTGTACATGGGAAAATAAAGGAGCTCCTAATTATTTTATTTCTTCTTTGACTTCTGTAATTTTAACAAGAACACAGAAAATAAATGTGCAACTTCATACCGTGTTTCTAAAGACCCTGAAGTGCTGAGCTGTGATAAAAAGGAAAAACTATACCTTTACAGCTGCACATTTGTAACAGAACATATTTTTCTGCAAAATCCAGAAAAGGAGGGAAAGGTGACCCAATAATTATTGGAAAAAAACATAAAGCTTGCATTTCAAACCTCATGGGTCCATAACCTTTTTTGAAACTGCTTACTTAGAGGACAGAGAAACTAGTCTCCTCTACTCATGAAGCTGGGGCGCCCTTTACACAGAATTTATGTTTCTCTTTTCAAAAGTGAATGCCGTTATCATGGAAAAAACTTTTTTCAAATTTTGGAAAGTTTGTTTCTTGTCCTCTTGGACAAAACAAGGTTTTGCACTGTCTGAATCGACAGATCATACTTTTTGACGTAATATGCAAGAACTCTTCTGTGATGAATACAAAACCTATTTAGAATTTGAGATTACCTGTCATCATTGAAAGAGTATTACAGTATGTAAATGTTAGCCCCCCTGTTTCTAGTAACCTGATGGAACATGGGGATAGCATACAGTATAAACTGTAGATTCTGCATATTGTGTTAGAAATTCCCAGATCACCCATTTCAAGATCATAACTTCAGGAGAAGAAAACTCTTTCTCACACATATTTATTGATTTAATCTGCAACATCAGTATCTCTACACACTACCACTTAGACATGTGCTTGTAGCAGGATGGAGGTGATGAGATTCCCATGGAACTTTTTAAGTTGACTGACGGCTTATTCAGGTGTCTTGATTGAGTGATTCACCTGCTTTGTTATCATTGCCAGTGATTCACCTGCTTTGTTTTCATTGCCAGTGCCATCATTAGTCATCTATCTCCTTTATAATGGCAGAAGAACCCGTTCCCATGTTTTTGGACTTAGGGTTGAAGTCATAGTAATAAATGCTCTGGCCATTTATGTTGGTTTCAATTGACTGAGGAGGACATTTGATTTTTACCTGTTCTTCTTTTGCTAAACCTGCAGTTTGTATTTAAAGAGTCAGAGAATATTTTTTTTATGTGAAATAAAAAACACCACATGTTCATGATGCCCACTAACGTGTCTAGAATATAGTGATTTCTGAATTGATAAAATGCTTTCTTATTGAGCAATTAAATGTAAGATTGAGAAAACGCTTTTGCATCATGGATCTTACAGAAATTAAAGAAATTCTGGTCAAGGTTTTCTATATCTTCCTCTCACATCTGTCCATAAGTCATTAGAGGCATTGGTGTTTTAACCTTTTGGATTATTCTTCTGCATTTTACCTTTGTCGATCCCTTTTCAGCTACTAGTCCTGTTTGAAGGCAATGTACAGCACATATCCTGTTGGTTTCAGAGACCTGAACTTCACAATCTACAAAAACATATTATTGTTTAAAATGCCTCCCTTTCAATTCTGGAGCCATGGGGGCAAAAAAGTTTTTAGGAAATGGACATAAAAATACCTTAGACCTAGAACTGTAAGGATTTGAAACCTTCCCAGTTTTCTTTCTCTACCTCTCAGAGGAGTAAAAAAAAGATATCCAGCAAATATATATATATAATTCGTTACACTGTGGCTGTGTTGTGTGTGTTAAGCTGCTGTTGCACTGCAATTTCCCTCACGGGATCAATAAAGTATCTATCTATCTATAATTGACCTCTACTGTATGTCCAAACCAGGAAAAACGGTTTATTGAAAGTGTGACAGGTTGTACTGTATGTGTCATTGTCTGCATTTTGCTGTTCTGGTTTGGGCTTAAGCCTTGTCCATTGGAGCTTGCAGTCTGATTCGACTCTGACCTGATTAGAAATTAATTATGACTATAGGAAACAAATGAAATGGACAAGCAGAACAGGTTGACCTCAATGACACCCTCCCCTAGATACGTTAGAGTAAGGTGTTTGAGTAGGTAGCCATGTCAGAATGCATAGGCTGCAAAGGAACAGAAAAGGTTCATTCCATGCTGAAAGGAAAAGAAAAGAAACACAACTTTATGGCTGAGAAGTTTCTTTACACTTCTTACACACTGTGTGTGTAAGGTGTGCTGTGCTATACTGTATATGCCTACAGTACTGTATATGTCTATGCCTACAGTTACAGGACAATCTGAATTATAGATGGAGTTTCCTCTCAGGAATACATAAATGTCTTCCAATGAAGTCTTCAGATTGAAAGAATGATGAAGTGAGTGCAAAAAGTTCTGGGCATCTGAAAATACAAGAATTTCAGTAACTAAGTTTATTTTTTAGCATCAAAACACTAAAACCTTGTTGGAGGCAGTTTAACATCTAATTATTAAAAACCTGACAGACAGGAAAACAGTGTGTCAGACTGAATAAATGCTGAGGCTTGAAAAAGGTGTCAGTAGAGACCATGTTTGATCTCCCAGCCTGTTATCAGACCCGTCAAGTTAGTCTGCACTTTTGAATTCTTTTGTAATAGAGATAATAATACAGATTAATATACATATAATAAGGAGCCTAACAAGACAAAGCAGATTTTTATTTTTAAAGGAAACCTAATGGCGATTTAATTTCTTCAGTAATTCCATTCCCTAGTGGGCACGTGTCAGGGTGAATGCACTCCAGAGTAATCTGTAAGGTCAAATTTAATTACCTTTCCTAATTTGTGCTCAGTGCCTCTCTTCCAGACAGGCAGGACACCAGAAGATGGTACTGAAATCCTTACCCAGCTGAAGGGAAATATAAAGCAAGCAGAAAATGAAATCAGATTACATTAATCAATTGCCAGCATAACATGTCCACTTGAAGATATGGATGATGGCATCTTAACCCTTGAGATCTAACTCACAAAGATAGGCTGTGAGACCAAAGAATTGCCATGGTGTAATTCTTTGGTTGTCTTAGGTAAGTTTATGTTAAACTATGCTGCATTATTTTTCAGTTTACTTGAGAAGCAAATTGAGGACAAATTGTATGTCATCTCTGGTCCTTGATACCTAACCAAGAGGTCTTTATTTTTTTAAGCCATACTTCTTTATTCTTTATTTTAACTTCATTAATTAGATTATAAAGAATCATGGAGCACATGAAGGAAGGCACTATTACAACCCATGTGAAATTTTATAAGTGGAAATATTACAACAAGATAGCTGTCCTCAAAGAATGTTTAAACTGTAATGTGAAAGGGAAAGCAAACTGAGATTAAGTAATGCATACAGCTCAGCTCATTAAGTTTGGGGGACTGTAGGAGCCGTAGGAGTCCAATAGTGAGTCCAAACCTGAAAACTATTTATCGTCAGTTAAATAAGCAGCTACATTAGTGGAAATGAACATCGAATTTAATGCATTTTCCTCAATCACTCAGGAAGTTTGCTTTAAGAAACTTTACATTACTTTTGAATAGTTTGGATTTTCTTTCCCTGACACTTCTGTTATCAGCACTCTTACAGACTTAACAGTCTTGGGCTGCATAGCTATGCTCTTATCAGATTATTTTTTCTTCCGAGCAGCTATAGTGTTCACTACATATTTTAAACTCTACAATAGTATCACTGCTAATACTTATGAGGTTTTTAGGTGGTGAGGCACTTTTTGACAAGTTGCCTGACAATCAATAGAATTGTAGCATGTTAATGTAATATTGTATTGATAACATTTCATTTTTACACAACAGGTGTGTAACCTCATGTGTAATTTGCAGTATATGTTTTTTTTCCTTTATTTCTGTAATTAGTTTTAATGCTATAGAGCTGCAAATGCCTTGAACCTCAAAGGCACCAGCAAGTTTCAGTAAATGTTCCACTTTGTCAAAATATAAGATAGCAGCTTTAATAAGTAATGTAAAGCTTTTAGGTAATGACTTAAGAAAGAGGACTGCCTGAAGAATTTAAGTATAATTAGTGCCTTATTAACTGAATAAATCAGTAATCCCATAATGCTGTAGCTAAATTGATGTGTGTAGTTTTGTGAGGAATAATTATTTTTATATTAAAATCTTCAGTTCAACCAAGTGCCATGTGTTTATAGATTATGTGGTGTAAATGTTATTGTGTCAACCTTGAAATGGTTTACACACAGTATGTATACAGTATTTCAGTATGGGTTAGATTTAACATTTTTCATAAATATCTCACCTTCCTATCCAGCATTTGCCACTGGCTTTACACTGTTGTCTCTATAAGGGAATAAGGGAGTTCCATGTATGCTCTAGTGGCCACAGCAACACAGCTGGTGGACCAATACTTGGGACTGGAAATAGTATTTGCATCCAAGTATCTTGGAACTGTACAGTCTATGCAAGCTCCTTGCTTTTAGTTGTATTTCATGCATTGTTGGCTTTGTTCTACAGGATTGTGTCATGCTTTCACTCAAACGTGTGTGACCTTTGCCCTGTCTGAATGTTAGGGGCCTCCCCTGTATTGACGGGTACAATAAGAGGTTAGAGGGCATGTATCCTGTGAGTGAGTCTGACATATTCTTGTTTTTCAATGTAGAGTTACAGTATAGTTGGGACTACCAATATAAGAGCCAATTTTGAACAAATATTCATAGGAATTCTACAATAGTTTTTTTTAGAGGTGCAATTCACAAATATTTTTTATATAACGTACTGCATAAGGAAAGTGACCATAAAAACCTGCTGAACGCAATGCTCAAAGAAACATGCCTTAAATTACTCAGTGAAAATTAGTCATTTGCAAATATGTACTACTTTCCAAACCTTTAGAATATGAAGTGGTGTTTTTTTTCTGGAAAGGTGATTACTTTTGTCTAGCATTGATAAGAAAATATATTAGTAAAAGTTTCTGGCATGAATGCAATGTTGTAACACACCAGTCTAGGCTCCACGGCCGAAACGTTGTGTTCTCTTTCTTCTTTTTTTCAGCATGGAATAAACCTATTACTTGTTCCTTTGCAAAAAAAAAACAGTTCATTTCCTTCTCATGAAATGACAAAAGCAGTTATAAAAAAATAACAGATGTAAAAAAAGCTATTCAGTGTGAAAGATTGTCTAACCAGTAATTTACTTCCATTGGTGTTACTTCTTTGACATTGTTTTCCCATATTTTAGATAGCTGCAGTGCAGCGTGTCATATAAACTAATATTAAAAAGAGTACCTGACACTGTTGATGGATGTAGTAATTTAGTCTGTCAGCAGCATAGCCTTCTACTGAACCTCAGAATAAACAATCTGCATTATGTACGGTTGTTTTACATTCTAAAACAAAGTCTGAAATCTTCTACAGTTTCAACCTATTCCACTAATGGAAAAAAAATACTTTTTGTGCTTTTGCAACTCAAGATGCAAAAGAGAGTTTTAAAGGATCCTCTGCCATTTTGTTTTTCTGGCAATTATATTTAATTTTATAAAGATACAGCCTCATGAAATTGCAACTCCCCTTTTTGTCATTCACCTAGTATAGACCCACCTCCATGGGTCTGTAATGTGTAGAGATGAATGTATACAGTGGGATGCTGTCTCTCACTGTGTAAGACACGTACAGTATAGTATCACAATGTACTTGTGCTGTCACAAAAATTATTATAATGAAATACTTCTCTGTGTTTATCTGCTTAATAGTCACACTTTTACAAATATTTTCATTATCATTATTCAGTGCCATTTTATTAAGACACATAGTCAGTCTATGCATAGATATTAAATGCATTAACAGCACAAATCTTAAGTTTATTGCAACAGCACCCCCTATTGGATTTTCACATAACTACTGTTTTTGTTGTAAATGTTCTCCAATAAGCTTTGTGTGAAAAATCACAAAAAAGTGATATTTTGGAAAGATCAAATTTTTCTTTTCTTTCATCATTCAGGTATTTTGTTTTATTAAAATTTCCTGTGCACTTTTTGGACGTGGATGGATTACTGTAGGTTTTTTGTCTATGCAGAATTACAGGTTACATCAACCATTATTAATGCTGAATGCTGAACTCTCCAGTTCCATTTGTATCAAATTTTGTTGTGGTAGTAAATAAAGATTAATGCTGTATGATATTCTTGTTCTGTGATATGCTGTATGATATGCTTGTTGTTAACTGTGAACATTTCTTTTTGGTAGAACCTGTACTGAACGATACTATAATTTCTGCTTTCTGCAAAGCCTCAAATATAAGTTTAGTCCTCTGTTATGTAATGTTACTTTTTAGAATTGCAAGGTCAAATCAAATTTGTTTTACCTGAAATCTGGTTGTAAAATCCTGGTTTTGTGTTTCTCCAAATTAAAAATTATAATAATTACAGCTAATTTTAATTTCAATTCTTTAATATAATCTTCAAGTTTGTGGAATCATATGGCAAAACATAGTTCCATTCTAGTCAATATTTGGCATGATGACATCACAGACTGTATCTTCAGATGCATGCTTTAAAATGAACAGCTCTCCCCTGAAGGATGGCCACATACTGTAGATGAACTTGCACCTCATCAGTGATGAGCCTTCAATGCCCACAATATTTACAGCCCACTAAGTACTTGTAGAAAACAGCATCTGTCTAACATTATCTTTGTCTTAATAAAGGAAATTTAAATAAATAATAAAGGAAGAAAAAAGGAAGAGAAACGTTACAAAAATTACATAGAAATTTTGAGGAAATTGTATAAATGCCCATTTGAGCTTTTATTGTATGTTTGTACTTCTGCGTTACCATAAAGTATGGCATGTTTAAGTCATAATTACAAAATTGTTCACAGAGCCTTCAAAGAGAAATACTATGAAGATCCTTACTTTAGCTTGAAGTTGTGTCAAAATCTCTTTCTACTTAACTGTGTGATGAAAAAAATCATTTGTTTTATACCTTTAACTCTAATCTGCTTTTCATATGCATCTTGACAAACAAAATGGTATGGAGATGTTTCCTCATTTCAGGTAGGGCCCTCTCCCTTCTCTGACGTGAAGAAGTGGCATCTGGCATCAAGCTAGAACAATACACAAGTCTACAACTTCTCTTCTCCTGAGGTGACCTGAGAAACGGACAATCTAGAATAGCTGATCAAGCCTATCCATCAGCTCTTCATAAGGTGGAGGGAAGCCGGGGCACATAGAGAAAACCATTGCAGACAAGGGGGTAGAACATGCACACTTTACAAGCAGCTGAGGCTGGAATCAGACTACCAAAAACTCAAACACACATTGAAAGCTACCTCTACCTCACATGTCAATAAGTTCATTGCCCATAATTTTCTATCGTTTATTTCATTCTGTTGATGTATGTTTTTGCACATCTGATGTTGTTTCGCACATTACCTGTTACCTTTTGTTGTTTTGCACATTGCCTGTTGTTGTTTTGCACACTGCCTGTTGTCTCTGTCTTTCTTTTATTATACAATTGTATTGTTGTTTTTTTGTACAACATATCGTCTGAGAGCTACTGTAGCTAAATAGCATTTAATTATACCATATACCTGTATATGAGTATAATGACAATAAACCTGAAGTTGAACTTGGAACTATAAGACAATAATACCAGCTGCCATTCTGCTGTCTCCCCCCGAGTGTGCTCATGAATACTCTACATTATGCAACACAATAAAACCATCTTCATGTTCCTGAAATATTAAATCAGAATAATTTGGATACCGCTCAGGATACCTAACGAAGTATCTCTATTCATGTTTTCAGGATTTTCATAATGAAATTAGATGTGATTAGTTTTGCTCACAGACATAAAGTAGTACAATTACATCCTTCAAAAACATTATGTATTTAATTGCAAAGAAATTGAGCATGCAGAAGAAACTGTACTGTAGGTATAGGAGGTGATTTGACTTACCTTATTGAACTTAATACCTGAAATTTCAGCATAGGTTTTAAATAATGTGTTACAGATTAACTGTAATTATGGATATTTGCCCTAGATTGTATTGGAATTCAGTGCTATCCTATAAACTTCTGTATATTAAAGCAATAGGTTTTTAATTAAAATATTTTTATTAATAGCATTATACCTATATTTTAATAACAATATATGTGATTACAGTGAAACCAAAATATTCTTGATTATACTATATTCTTAATTAAGTTCACATCATAACAAAAATCACTTGGCATATTTTAAGTCCTGCACAATGGCACAATATAGTATTGATATAGAAGCTTTATAAAGCACTGAAACATCGTTCCTATGAATATAACCTTATACAGAAGGACCTCACACCTGAAGAAGGCTCCATGGCCGAAACGTGTTCTATTTCTTCTTTTTTTCAGCATGGCATAAACCTATTACTTGTTCCTTTGCAGCCTACACATACTGACGCAGCTACCCACCTGAACTATACAGTAGGTATGTTCCATACATAACTTACTATTATTTTTTTACTCATAAAGACACCTGATTAAGACATTATATACTGTATAAAAAGTACTTGAACTTTAAATATTTTCCAAAAGACATTTCAACAGTATGAGCACACACTGTTTTTTTAATGAAATCTTTCTTGTCCAATGTAGTATTACCCTAGCAGTATTCTACAAAAGTTTCTGAAAGTCATAGATCTGGTCTAGACATAAATTAAAATGCATTCACAATAACAAAAAAAGATTCAAGACAAACATCTAACCTTGCAGAAAACTCTCTAACATCAATCTTTTTGTCGACCTTAGGATCATGTCAGACAGACCTGAACTTTAAACAAGTGACTCTTCCTAACCTTGAGATACACAATAATGTGTCTAACCTATTACCTTAGCTGCCATCCGGTAGCTGTGCAGTGGCTTCTAATCTCCAGACAACAGAAATGATCTCATCTCTTGCTTGGACAAAATAAGGAATGATCTCAGGTTATCTCCAGGTAGGATATGAATAATGCTGTATCCTTCTTAATAGTTTTATTAATAGAACTCTACCTTCTCCTAAAGTTCTTACTGTGTTTAGTGTTTAGTTAGGACTGTTCAGAGTCAATAGAAAAAAGGAGCCATATGCAGCTTGCTCCTGGTTCTTAGGTTAAATTCTGGACTGGGTTGCCTTCTGTGTGGAGTTTGCAGGTTCGCTTTGTCTGACCAATGACATGCTGGCTAGGTTCATTGGTGTCTCTAAAATGCATGCATGTTTGCCCTAAGATGGGCCTGTCTTCCATGGGGGAGTCTCAATTTATGTCCTGTGTTTCCTAGTCAGGATCCGAGCTGTCGTGACTATTGAGAATATCTGACTTTCTGATACCAAGAGGACAGCTGGAAAAAAGGAGCCATTCCTTGTACATATGAAAGTAAAACTAATTTAGCATGGTATAGTTGCTTTGTGATATTAATGATTCTGAAGTTTAGATTTCATTTTTTTTAATAAAATGAATGATCTAATATTTGTAGAGCAGCAGGGAAGGTGACATTTATACACTCATAAATGTAAATGTGCTATATATTAGATTAAACATAGTGTTCTAAAAAATGCAAGGATATTCTAAAACAGTGTGATACTTTTTTGCAGAAATAAATATTAAAAGATACTGTACATTTCAGATGAGAACAGTAAACAGACTGGAAAAGTGTATTGAACTGTATATAAAGTTTAAAATAGTTAAAGTTTTATAAAAAGTATTCCAACACCTTTATAATATATCTAAACATACATATATATTTTGCACTACATGATGATTCAGCTTCATGCAGGTGTGATGATGCTGACTCCTGTATATGTTTCCAAAGTACTGCTTGCAAGAAAAGATGATAAAGTGTTTATCTAAAGATAGAGCATATAGTCAGTTTGGATTTATTGTGTAATTTGCTTTCAACTTGAACAAAGAGCAACTGTTTAAAAGTGTAAAAAAAACTTCTGAATTAGAAAAACAGAATGGGCAGAATTACAGCAAAATACCATATATGAACTCTCTATTCTCAAAGTTATCTGGAAAAGCAGATACCAGATCTCAATCATACAGAACACCTCCAGGAAAAATTAACTGGAACGAAAAATCAAGAAACGCTCCCACAGACCACCTCCAAACTACCAGATGAATAGCAGTTTCCCTGCAGACAGGTCAAAACTGTCCCTTTCTACATAAACACTTCTAGGACTAAAGAAATAGAGACCACATGTGAAAGTTCATCCTACTGTGATAAGTCTGATATTTTATTTTCATACACTCAATTTGATGTGCAATACTTTCTTCTATAATAAAGTTCCAGAAATCAAAACTTTCAGAAGAGAGGTGTACTGTGGATACTCTAGAACAGTTAAAGTACTCTAGAATGCAGAGAATCCAAACTGATAGTTCCTGTACAGTGTAAAGTGTGCAGTATTTATCAAATTAAGGGAACTGTTAGATAAGTTTCTGTTATTTAGAGGATACCATCTGAAAGAATGCCAGATGGACCTCACAAAGCACACAGCCTCCTGAAATCCCTGTGTTGCAGTGTGTGAAATTGATGCCTATAGGCATATCATCCTAGATATTACTGTATCTTAGTAGTTGGTTTTACTTACTTAAATGACATCTAATTCTAGAATGTGTTTCAAAAGAATCCGAGAAAATTCTTGTACACTTTTGCAGAAACTTATTTTCAGATGTACGTTAGGTGAACTTCGAGGAAAAATAAAGGATAGGAATCGGGTTGAATTCAGCACATGGCATATTATGTTATGTGAGAGCGTGCAAGAGACAACACACTAAGATTTTGTACTAACTGGATACAAAATACTTTATATTATAGGAATAAAAAAGCTCTGACGTTCAGTGTTTAAGAAAAAAAAAAAGACAAATCTCATTTATTAACGAGTAACATACAGCTCTTTTTAGCATTGCCCCCAAAAAAATCTGCCTTTCACAACAAGGACACTACATACAGTACCAAGTTTTCACATTGTATGTGGTCTATTCATCAGGAACTGAACAAGCAGTTTCAAAACACTGTCATTCCACCCTATCACATCCCCGTCCTTCACACCCTCGTACAGACGCATACTTTCTGTGCCCCAGCACACATTTTTCCTGGGGTTATTTGAGTCAGTCTGTACAGTAAGGCCCAGCGTGTTGAGCTGGTAACAGAAGAATGAAAAATGAAGACCATCTGTAATTACAGCTTGGGACACAAAGGGACGCGTCACGTCTTCATGGCTCCAGAATCCTAATAATGCAGAATAAACAATTTAATACATAACGGAATGAGAGTATGATGATTAACATAAAGCATTTGTATTTTACATATAAAGTACTGCTGACACTTGAACATTTTATTGGGTACCATCTGGTATCACTTCAAAAACATGACCTTTCTTCATAAAAAAAGTTTCAATATTGATTTTTTGGTTACCTATTTTTAAAGGTGAAGTCTAAGACCCCAAGCAAATGGTATAATCCATGCTAATATTTCACAACATAGTACTTGGTAATGAGAATAGGTTGGTCCTTCCTTTTTTCAACACGCTGCAATCTTGCAATGATTTATTCAGAGGTCTGAAAAGGACTCAAAACCTGTAGCCGCTTACTAGATCAACGCCACCAACAAAAACCCCAGCATTCCAAATTACCTTACACGTTTTCTTACGCCTTCCCATTTCAAACGACTGGAAAGTTGTACATGATTTAAGGTGTATTTAAGAAGTTTAAAATGGCTAAGGCTGGAGTAATTTTTCCTTTTAGATAAAGGTTCTCAAATTTTCAGAAAATGTGTGCAAAGCTAAGAACCTATTTCCAAGTAGTACAGCATTTGACCTGTGAAAAGTTGGTTTACAATTTGTTCCAAATGAGTATATGAATTAAAAAAAAATATTGGGGGGGAATTAGAATATAGACACCTCTGAATCTTTTTCAGTTCTGTTTTTCTACATACTCCAATGCACTTCATTCTATTACCTGTTCTAGCAATTAAAAGAAAAAACATTTCAGATATTTCTACAAAAGCAACGATTTGAATAGGAAATTTAAAAATCAATACATTTAAAATTCTCAAATCTCAGTAGCTTAAGTGTGTAAGATAGTTACATACATTTCTTCCTCTGCAGAGCATAAATGACACCAGATGTTTCACTGCTAATAAGCACTTTGGATTGTACCATTGTGTTCAGTAGGTGGCAAACAGCTTCAGGGTTTTTAAAAATATTACATAGGTCTACTTCATACAGTATGTGCACTTATCAGTCAAAACTATACCCACCTTGATACATGGCCTGAGCTCCAGTCCAGGCAAACAGGCTAGCAATGGCATTTGCCCGCAAACCAACTTCTACCTGGTCAGCAAGGTTGGCCTTGGCTAGCTTGTCTCTCCTCAACCTGTCCCCAACAAGGTGGAATTGTGTGTGGCCATAACAGCATGGATCAGCCACCTTCGACCCTGTTATAAAATGAACCATTTAGTGGGTATTCCATGCATTTTCATCCTGGCGGTATGAACTTCTAAAGAGTACCTTTCATCTTATTGTATAACTGTTTTTCCCTTTCTTCATTATGATAAATGGAACTTCTTCAGTTTGGCAGGTTATTCATATATCAGAACTTCACTGGCATGACACATGACTAATCTAAGTTTCTAATTACACTTGAAGTGGATTCTGGAATTTACAAATAAGAAACTACATCCTGGTATAAATGCTGCAGAATCCATTTTCAGAAATCACCCAATTCTGAAGTGTCTAGGACAATTACAAGTGTAAATTTTGAAGTTATACTTAAAAGCTACCTGTGGCAAAATATGAAATGCTATAATCCATCTGAAGGTGCTATTTCTACATATGTAAAAGAAGGTAGAAATGAAAAAGAAAAGCAACACAAAGGAAATTAGATCTCACTAAATAACTATCCTCTCATGATGTGCTCTTCCACATTGTTTTTGTCTAAATTAATCCCCTAACATTTAAATGCTTTAAAAGAAAAACTAACATTTTTCAGCAATATGAAAGTAACTATAGAAGGTATTAAACATACATTCACAGTAGGGTCCTTATATATAAAAAGAGGAAGGTCCATATCACTATTTTGATGCTTATGAGCAACTTAACCTAAAATAAGATTTTATTTAAAACAACATACATTACCTATGAATATATTATTATCATACTGTCTTCTGAACATTGGCAGCAGGTCTGGTGCAAAATGTATCACTGGAACCTCTGCAGAACCTGATTCTTCCAAAGGCAAGAACTAAAACAGGCAAAATATTATGCAACATCATACCTGGAATGTGCAAAAAAGTATGTATAACAAAATAATTTGTTAATTTTTCAGGAGCACACACTGTGAAAAATAAGGGAGAAGTTCGAAAGAAAAAAGTAAAAAATAAACTAAAGTCATAATCCAAAATATTCATGCAATATTAGCAGTTTAATCTATCAACCACTTACTTGATACTTTTTTGATGGATAAATTGGGTTTTGCCTGAAAATGTATTTCTTACAAAGTTACCTCTTACTATTATCAATAAAGAAAAATCACTTCATTGTTTTACAAGCACTTATTACAGTCAATAGGTGCATTATTAACATATTCTTATTAAAATGACTTTATCACTTAAGAGCTTTTCTTTCAATATTTCACAGCTTTAGAAGTCAGTTAATCCCATTTCCTCACAGCTACCACCTCGACACTCCCACCCAAGGAAAAGAGACAAAGCCAACAGTCAAAAATGGGCTTCAAGCCATCTATTTTCCACTGCACAAATTCATGCTATAAACAGCCAGCCTGGTGTGTGGAACCAATAACTGACACAGCCCCTGAGATAATACTTAAAAAAACTCAGTGGACATTTACCAGGAAGCTATACACCACTTCCTTGGCAAGTGTGGTTACAGTTAAATAGTACATCCAGGATTTGAACCAGTGATATCTCTGGATTTGAGGGTATAAATTGCACTCAAAAGAGACTTGGCCATTTTCAGATAAGCTGTTTGGAAGCCATGTGAGATAGATCAGTATTGTTTTGCTCAACCTATTTTTTCATAATTCAAATCCCAATACCAAGCATTTGTGCAGAGCACAAATCTAGAACAAAATAAGCATCCGAGTACCTCTGGGAGTTGCTGGGGCACTCGTAACTGACTGTGTGGTTGGTCATCAATCTGAAATCTCACTGGATCAACTCGCCCACGTCGGTGCCCGCAAGGAACAGTCCTCTCTCCTCGCATCCAGTAGAAGTTCACCTGAGGGCCAAAGTCTACAGGAGGAAACAGCCCAAGAGCATTTATTTCAAGTGATGAAAACTGTAGAATGTAGTTTACTGAGGTCACATAACTGCCTATTTAACATTAATATTACAGCAGCAATATCATATCTAAAACCAGGTACAAGGCAGAGAAGAGATAATAAGAAATAATGGAAAATTGACAGTATGATCAAATATAGAAAAAGGTATGACACGCAAATGATTCTGTTTTTAATGAAGTGTCATTTAAAGGACTTTGAGGTTCTCAATCCATTATCTATACTTCACTTTCAACATTATAGAGACAGTAAATATAAATATAACAGCCTTCTTAAGGAAAAGCAAAAATCTAACTGCTACACGTTAAGCACATATTGGATAATTGATGTTGAAGAACATTGCCATGTGACTAATGTCAATAAAAAAAGCTGGACATCAACCCCAACTTGAAGAAGCTTAAAATAGCTGCAGGTGTAAATGAAAGAGTACCACACACGCGTCTTATTAAATACAACACAATAAATAATAACAATTAATGTGAGGTGTTCAGAAAATGTACTTACCTAGGCTTGACACTTTCAGTACTGGGTTGTGTTTAGCTAAAGTGTTGGTAACGGCAGACACCATGTTTGATAGGAAAGGCGCAACGAAGTGCTCTTGTTCTCTTTGCAGAAAAGGCCTTCTTTTCTTAAGATAAAAGTTCTCCTGTAAAATTGCATTGCACACAAGGGATCGAAGCTCGGAAAAAACATCACTATCAATGACATCTGCCTCTTTCAACTTATTGCCACTGTCTACACTAAATTTCTTAGGGAGACCAGGCAGGTATGCCGTCTTGGTGAAATGCTGATACCATCTGTCCGCATTCAATGCAAATGTCTGTGGATAAAGCACGTACTTCTTTCGCTGAAATTTGGTGAGGAGCCTAAGTTTTTCTTGCACCGTCGCTGCAGCTCGTACTTGGTTGATAAATTCTTCTTCCCTCAGTTTCTTTGCCGATTTACTCTTTGCCGTCCGAGACGGAATAATAGGAGGGTATGCAGGCTCCCTAATTGAAGGCTCTGTATGTAAAACTCTTCTAAAACTCCAAATAAGCCCTCTTTTTAAGGCAAACGGTTGCAATGACAACCTACTGGACGCCGCCATTTTCCAGGTGACAAATTCTCGCGAGATGCGAGAGTCATTATTTTACCTAAATCTTAGATTGAAGTAACAGTGAACCAATCAAAGCGTACAGTGCGACCAGGATCTGTTTGCTGGTCAGCCAATCTGTAGCTCCTGGAGGAGGAAGCAGACTGTTGTTTGCAGCACTATCATGCTGGGGTTAAAACTCGGGACAAATTCACTAATTGTGTCAACGCGGTGTTTGAAAGTAAATTTGATTAACTTCACTGCTTTACTGCTTGCACCTAGTGTTAAGGGCTATGTTGAGGTATGACGAAAAGTTTTTATTGTGAAAATGTATTTTGTACAGGCCATAGCTTTTGTACTTGGAGCTAATAAGTAGCAAGTTATATTTCGCAACTTAGAAATACAACTTGTGCAATACCTAAATTCAGGTATCTACCTTAAAACGTATTCTAAGTGTCTTCTCCATGATATTTGGAAGGATCTGCAAAACCGTGACCTAAAAGTCACATTCAAGCTGGAGGTGAAAATTTTAAGTGCCGTGTTTTCCAGGTTAATTACATGTGAAATCGTATACACTAGTACAAGTAAGCACTGAGGCACTGTACATATAACCACTTTCAATAAAAATCACTTATTTCAAAATCAGTCATGTTAATTTGTAGAAATAGCGCATTTGCAGAATTGTGATCTTTCAGTTTGTTTTTGTTAAAGCGACTTATGACAACATTTAAAATAAATAATGCAAAACTTCCATGTAAAAGAAAACCTTTTAATTTCATACGTGTGTTACCTTCTCTGTGCCAGAGAGGGTATTGCGCGGGGACAGACTCAGATGAAGTAACAAAAGCCCGTCTTGCTGAAGAAGCCAGGAGAAAATATGGAAACCCAGCTTCTACTATCTTCTCTAAAATCATTGACAAGACCATACCCGCGGATGTAATTTACGAAGATGAGAAGGTGATGTGCTCAGAAAAAAAAAACTGTCCATACTGTACATTGACCTATTCAGTACACTGTCATAGAACAACCAGTAAGGCACTATGAGAAACTTGAGGACCATTAAAAAGGCACCAACCAGATTAGGTTTAAAAGCAATTTTCCTGTAACAGGGACAGTCTAATTATCATTATTATGGGAAATATACTTGTCTTCTATTAAACGTTGTTTGTACAGATGCATACAAAATACATTCACTCAAAGGAAATGCCATGTAGATTCTGTCTTAATGATTTAATCTTGTTTTTTATGCTTATATATTTAAGCAATAGACTATGCATTTAGTATCTAGGAAAGCACAATTATAGTTCTAATATTTTTCAATGCATGTTTTCCCATTAAAAGCAGGACTGTTTAATTTTGTAATTAAAATTAAGGTAGGATTATTTTTGTAAAATAAAAGAGAAGCTACAGTGACATCCTGTAAAAATGTTTCAAGGGGAATCTTGTACAGACCAAATGTTTTGTGGTATAATATGCTGACATTGTATTCTAATTTTGTATGTGGCAATTATATACAGTAAAGTTCTGTGTTTAGAGATTACCAAACTAGCCAAACTAGATGCTGTTCCAGTGCAGGTTTGTTGAACTAAGCCCTAAACAAGCAGTTGCTAAAGAGTGTGCTGAGAATTGGGACACTGGTTTTTAGGCTCTCGGCATCCATTTTACAATTTCAATGAAAAACAAAAGATAAATTCATCCAAACAATGATTTTTGTTTTAATTTGCAGTGCCTGGCATTCCGAGACATAAGTCCCCAGGCTCCCGTGCATTTTCTTGTCATCCCCAGGACTCCAATCCCAAGAATCAGTGAGGCAAAAGATGATGAAGCACAGGTAATATTTTCAGTTCTGACAGTAGAGGCAACAGAGGCCTTAAGCTCAAAGGCTTGTAGGCCCTGTAGCTTAAAATATTGTACTATTTTAAAATAAAATTCAGTATGTAGAAGTTTACTTAATCTTTAGAAATCATTACAAGCCACCCTAAATGCCCTAACTGGGAGTTTCTGCAGGACCAGGGTTAAGAGACAACTGGAAAAACATTCATGTAGATGTAGAGAAAATGCCAAACTCTTACCCATAACAGTAAAGTGCCCCTTCCTGTTTCTTTCTATTCCTGAGGAGAAATACACCACAGTAAAATAAAGTGGAATATACAGTTTCACAAGCAGAGAGTATTTGTTAGTAAAGTGTAATGAGCTCAGATTCTCTTCTTTTACATATCTGTGCGTGGATGTTTTTTTCATTATTTCCAGCTTTTAGGTCACCTCTTGGTAGTGGCTAAAAAAGTGGCAGCAAAAGAGGGATTGCGAGAAGGCTACAGAGTGGGTAAGTGGAAAAAATGGGAATTACTTAGATTGGAGTTATTCTTGTGTGTCACAGTGAACATTATGGTTTGTACTGTAGGGTCTTCTCTCCAGACAGATGTTGCTTGGTTTTTCATTGCTTATATACTAACTCCATACTATATGCAGCCTCAATAACAAATTATTTTTCCAAGAATTTAAGGCATATTAAATTAAGTGATTTTTTTCTTTGTCTTATTTTTTTTGTGTTTACAGTTATTAATGATGGGAAGCATGGAGCACAATCAGTGTATCACCTGCACATCCACGTACTCGGAGGGCGACAAATGTCCTGGCCTCCTGGCTAGAAGACAGGCCTTCTTAAAACATTCCAGTTGGTGTACTGATATAAATACATATATATTAAGGTAATTATGAATATGGATTGTCTTGTTGTGATTAAACAGTTGTAAGTAATATCAAGCCCTTTTTACATCAGAGTGCCTAGGAGTCATTATAAGCTTCAACACACAATGTATAAGCCACTTACAATAAAGCCTGAAAACCTGTAATTTACCTATATTTGAATTCTGTGTGTATCTGTTAGCCAGCATATTTGCATTCATCAGGTGAGTGAAATTTGAGGTCATCCTAACCTACAGAGGATCTGACGACAGAAGGATATCCAATTTGTTAACTGTTTGGCTTCAGATTTTGCTTTACTGGTACACGATTAAACCAGATAAACCAGATTACAGATTAGCTAGTGTATTTGGAAGCCAGCTCTTCCATGAATGTACAGTATGTATAAGAACATTTCACATGGTCACATGGTGTAAGTTGCTACAAATTTATTCCTGAGCTGAAAACGTCCAAAATGAAGACTGCTTTTATCTGCGTTCTAGATTCAGGTAATCTTTGTTGTAAAAAAATGCGTTCTGCAGTTTCTGCCTGTCTATGGTAAGTTGATTTAGATGTTTTATTGAGCACTGATATACCTGTGTTACATCACATGCCCAACAGTCATTAACAGTAAAACTGCTAATCATTTAAACAGAGTCACTTAAATTAATAAACCTCTGGGTGCTGGGTGTGTATTTACTATACTAATCATCAGAAAATACATAATGGATAAATGATGATCTATGACATTAGCCTGAAAAAGGGATGAGAAAATTATTCAGTGCCAAAGAGGAGGATTACTGTAAAGCTCAAGGACTGAAAAGATGTTACAATGCAGCTCATTGTTTTACGGTATAAGTTGCATACAAGTATCTCGGAAACTCCTGAAGGTTGTTCTCTATCACAGTTTGCCTCGTGTTTCAAAGGTAGTAGAAAAATAGATTTCTTTAAATAGAAGATCCAGCACCACACCTAATCATTGTCTGTTTTAACTTTTTTCTGTTTACATTTAACTTCATACCTCAGTTAATATGTCACATACAGTAAGAGACATTAAAACTGATGATTCAGAAATTTAATAAACCATTTTAAAAAAAGTTGTTTTATAAAGGCATATTAGAGGACACTTTTCATTACCCTTTATTTTTGTCAATTTCATTAATTATTATTGAATACCAAGGCAGAGGTTGCAGAGGAGTATTTCTGAAACCTGGAACAGAACTTTAGTTCACTGATTTGTGTACTTCTCAGTGTCCTGACCCAATGTCCTTGAGCAGCAGGATTTGCAAGTTTATCTAGAATAAAATAGTGGCCGTGTTAGTTACCATTAAACTACCAGGTGAGTTCTCTATGGCAACTGCTAAAAGCTTGCACAATAGCAGGTTGACACTGAAATACTAGATATTCAGACAGGCACTCTGTATACTTAATTCATTTTTCAAGTACTACCATAATTGTTCTTGTGCAACCTCTACCAACTAGTTCAAGTTCCGAATTGAAGCTTGGCTGTGTTGTCCAAAAGTTTCATAAGATATGTGAGATTTGTATACCACTGCATAGTTACTGTCCTTATGAAGCTGCGCAGACAAGGAAAGAATGAAGGTATAATAATCAAATATACTGACTTAAGGCTGAAAATAAGTGTACAAACACTTGGTAATTGTCTAATCATCATACAAACATTCCATGTACAATGACCTGTAGAAGTATTCAATATTGTATTCATCTATTGCAGTTTCGCAATTTTAAAGCTTGCTATTAAGGTGTTTTGAAGTAGCACTTCATATTTGTTACACACATCCTACTGCAGAAAAAACAAGTAAATAAAATTAAACTTAAATGGAAAATTCCTGGTTGCATAAAAATTCAAACCCTTTGTTGTGTCCAATCTAATTAAATTTAGGTACACTAAATTACCTTAATGAACCACACAATGAGTTACATGTTCTCCATCTGTACGTAATAATAGTGGGTTACATGACTTTACAATAAATGCACTTGTCTCCAGTCAGATGGTGAAGGTTGAGGAAAGATTCAGCCATGAAGACCATGGAACTGTCAAAACAACTCAGGGATAAAATTGTACAGAGGCACAGATCAGAAGAAGGGTATAAAATAAAGATACAAAATTATTACTTTGACCATGGTGAAGTCAATCATTAAAAAGTGGAGAGCACCCAGACACTGCCTACATCAGGCTGTCCATCCGAGTACTGTACTGTATAAGGCCAATGGTGACTTTCAAAAATCTTCAATGAGTTCAATGGCTAAGAAGGGAGAAGATGTCCATCACTCAACAAGATCCTCAAAGCTGGACTGTTTTGTGGAAATCCCGTCTCAAAAGCTGAAATGAGTTTGCAACAAAGCATTTCGGTGATACTGTAAACATGTGGCAAAAGGTTTTGTGGTTAGACAAACAGAAAAAATGGCATCACGCAGTCTACACCATCTCTACTGTCAATCATGGTGTCAGCAACAGTATAGTATGTTATAGTTCTGCATCTCATCAGAGACCAGGAGTCTAGTCTAGACTGAAGAGAATGTAGGTATAGCAAAGTAGTTTGGGAAATTTGACAATGAACCAAAGCACAAGACCAAAACTTTACTGCATTTGGAGTGGCTTAAAGACAAGACAGGAAATATCCCTGAGTAGCCATAAGTACTGACTTGAATCCTGTTGAGAATACGTAGAAAGAGCTGAAAAGTGCTATCCATAAAGGAGAGAGCAAATCTGCCAAGAAGAAGTGGCAAACATTGCAAGCCTTTGTGAAAAGTTGGTTTAGATATACTGTAGTTGGTTATCCTAAGTGCAGCTGTAATTGCTGTTAAAAGTACTTTCACCAAATGTTGAGTTCAAGGGTCTGAGTACTTAAGCAATCATCTTTTTCTCTTTAGTTTTTGCTGAAATCTAAAGTAACATGCTGTACGACCCTACCCTTTGAAGTCTTCAGTTTGAGAATTCAAGTTTTGAATAAACTATTAATTTTATAAATGTGCATCATTTTGATTTAATATTGGGGTGAATTTGCCTTGTCTTTAACACTTGTATCTATTTTGTCATACAGTATGTCTGACCACAATCTATATACTGTACTAAAAATGACATTTTGCTTCTTCATTGTCATAATTTCTAAAAATTAGAGATCTTAATTCAATTAAATTCAATTCAACTTTATTGTCATTAAACTTACACAGGTGCATAGTATAATGAAAAGTGTTTCTCATTAGTCACTCAGGTGCAGTATATAAATAGGACAGAAGATAAGACAATAGACAGTAACATGTAATAACATAACATAAATAACACTTAACTTTAGAATCTACCTATAAAAATATAGATATAAATCTAACAAATATGTTATGCTTACAACTCTCTAGTAGATCTCTTACCTTTGTTCCCCTTACTTTATCTTCATTGTTTGGGAACACTGGATCAATATAAACACCACCTCTCCTGAATGTTGTGACAAACTGGGTCAAAAGAGTAATTAACCATTTCTACCATCACAGTTTAGACTACAGTGCTTCCAACTTGAATATTCTATCCTGTATTGGGTAAGTTACAATCTCCTATTACAGTATGTAGTGAGATGTTCCTATTACATTTTTGAGTATTTAATCAAACTAATTAATATTTTAAACTCTGGGAGTTGTTGCAAATTAATTTTACCCATTTAAATTTTGAAATACTGATTTGTTCAGGTCATGTTTAAGTTCCTATTATTGTGTACTATGTAATATCTGTTAGCCAAGTCCCTGTAATCCCAGAACTAACATAATCACTACTAACGCACCGACATACTGTACAGTATACAGTATGTATAACACTTCTAAAACTAAAATATAGAACACTTCAGAATTCGGAACGGAGTGGAGTCAAAATTTTCATCCATTTTTAATTTTCTTATTTTTTAGCAGATCATTAATAGACACACTGTCCTCTTCATCCCTAGTTTAAATGATCTTTTTGCAAAAACTTAAGATTGTGCAAATGTACCGTACAGTATCTACACTGGATGCACGAACACTTCCTAAATATATAATAATGTTACTTATACGACAATGCCGTAGCTGGCCATAATATAAAGTTTGATAGATGTGCATAAAAACTGAAATAATGTTCATTAATGCTAATTGAAGAAAACGCTTAAGCATACACAAAAGAAAACGATTTCTCACTCCCGCCGCCAATTGGTTAATGAGCGAAGTGAAACAGGTGTTGAGGAAGTTGTCACATAACCTGCAGGATTTGGTAGCAGAGACAGTTAGTAATACAGCGCTGCAGGGGGTTGCATTCTGTTTAGTAGTCACACCGGGTTTTTTTGCATTTGTGTGGTTAGCAAACCCTGTTAAACAGAGTAGACATAAGGGGGTTATCACAAATTTGTTTAAGGTAAGTTAATTATTTCAGTAAGTTTTATTTCTTAAAAAATTAATCACATTTTGAGCTGTTATCTCTTGAATTCTGCATTTCTAAATTGTGAATCTCAACTTCTATTGTGCTTTGGGGGGGAGCAAAGCTGATTTTCTTTAGAATTAAGAATTTATGTTTTGTTTTCAGGGTTCAGTTTTGATTAAGCGCTTTTATTTTCTATATTGTACAGTTTGGACAATACTATGCTACAACCTAATTCAGTTTTTGTTATTAGGAGTAAAGTATATAGAGGTAACTATTGCTAGTAGACAAATACTTTCGGTTTGTACTAAATGTTGCATTAAAAATTAGAAACATGTTATCTTTTTATAATGATGCTTACGATCTGTGCTAAGTGCCACTAGAACTGTTTAAATTACAACATCTTCCTATTGAAGATATCATAATCAGGTTTGATATGTACAGTAAATGTTAAATTTACTAAGTCGTAGCATTTTTCCTTTCACTTCTCTATTTGAACTCAGTCTTTTAAATTGCGTGTAACATTAGGCTATGTTAAACAGTTACACAAAAAACTATTTTGTCTAAATAAATAGACTACCGATTTCAAGCCCAATTTAATTGAAGCAAGTAAATCAAAAAGCACGGTGCTTACTAAACGAAGACCATTCTTGTTTGAGAATCTTAAGTACCTACGCTTTAAACAAGGTTCGTGAAGATCTAAAAACTTAGTTCGCTTACAATGTATTTTATATAGCAAGACCTTTTTTCAAGCAACTTGTTTTTGACGGTAACACGGGTTTTTCCCCAAGGTTTAGCATTCACACCAAGGCTTTAAATGTTTACAAGTACATTTTCGAGATTTTCTTGAATTTGATTCGCTTTATTGGTGATTCGCAGCATTTCAATTTCAAATACGATTACATGAAATTAATCATGGCTTTCCCCACTTAACATCTTTTCCGAGTTGAGTGGAATAATGAGGTTAGGTTGGTGGAAAACAGGAACAGAGTATTGTACTTGATACAGATAAAAATTGATTCCGTTATAATTTTCCTATTTGCATAACGTTGCTGTAACTATATAGCCTGTTGGTATTCCTCGATGTTTTTATTGGAAAATATAATAGGTTATTTTATACGTTCAGTAATTAACAAAATAACACCAATTTAACTGGCATTTTTTAACAGCTTGTCTCTTGTAGCCACTCTTTGAAGTAAAAAAAAAAACAACTTTTTTGTATACAATACACCTTTTGCGGTGTAAGGTGGAATTGTTTGACAACGGGTAAAAAATTTGCTCAGTTCTGTCCAAGAGTCCAGCAGGTTGGATTACAGTGCCACATGGGCAAAGGTTTATTATACTTCTGACCTTTGCTTTGCGTGTCATGTAACCAGTGACAAGGATCTAGGGATCGTAAACATTTACGTGTCAGATAATTTGTGAAATTTCGTCTGTTTCTAAGAACTGTTGAGCAGAGACATTGAAACAGTGTTACAGGTAGGTACCTCGGTTTAAGCATGTCCAGATTTTAAATTAGTTAAGATCTAATTTCATAAGATAATCAGCCATTTGTGAAAAGGTTCCTCAGTTGCATGATTACATTGTGCAATATCTCTATACTATTGATGATAGTGGCATACTTATCATGATCAGGGCGTTTCATTATCCTTAAATGTTCTAGCATAGATAGGTATAGGAATAGAATATTTAGGTTTGGGTTGCATAACCTTTATATCCTGTTACAGACCATTGCCATCTTTTCTTTTTAATGCGTTAGGTGTTAAATATCTTATGATTGTAGCTATTTTAGAAAAGGTTTGACTCTGTAACTATATGAGCTATTGTATACATCTTAATTTTCTTTCTATGATCTACTGCACTAAAGTGGAAAGGTGCATGTACTCGTTCTTGCCATTAGGTGGCATCAGCGGACCTCTTTCTACAGACGTATTTGAAGGATCAGGCTAGCATACCCCTGAAAGTTCGTTTGGTTTTCTGTGATTTTGAAAATGGTTTCTTAATGGTACTGTAGATGTGAAGCACTTAAAATAGTTGCACATCCTTGATTCGTTGTCCTTTGTTCTAGATCTTTGGGCTATACTGTTATATTTCTGAGCAGAATTGGTTAAGCAAAGCGCTACTTGGATAAATGGTAGAGGGGTTTGGGGGAAGCAAAGGTTTACATAACCCAGCCATGTTAGATCTTAAGTAAAATATGTCCCAAGCATCTGACCCCATTTTTGTACAAAACCAACCTTTCTTCAAGGCTTGATGAGGGAAGATAGGTGATGTATTATTCCAGTGACCCACCTTCCATGGCAATTCTGAGTCACCAGTTTCATTTTTTTAATAGCAATGAACCAACAGTATACTTTGCAACTGTTTATACTGAATTGCTTCTATAAATCCCATTGTTTATACAACGTTGAGCTCTCAAATTAAACAATGTTAATTTGTAGCCATTACTGCCATCTTTAAAGGTCATTTAACTGTATCCAATCGTTAAACCATCTTCTGTCCTGCTTTGAAACTTTTGATGTCTGTTGATAATTCTCTTTTCTGCTGTGTAGAAGCTGCAGAAAAAAAAAAACATGAGGTACAGTAGCTTTGGCAGTGACTTTAAGTTGGATGCAAAGATGATTAAAGAATGGTGAAAAGTCCAGTTCACATTTAGATAATTTGACATGCAAGTTTCTTTTGTTAGCAATGGATGCTTTTCATGATTTTGAGGACAAATTGAACAGGTCGAAAACCTTGAATGAGCCACATCTTAAGTATTTATTTCGTTCATTAATTTTTATAATGAGTGTTAAAGGACTGTGATGTCTTAAACTGGTCATTTCAAAGTAGTATTACATTCATCCCACAGTCCTTGCCTTATTTTTTTTTCTGTTATGTAATTTGTTACAGAGGTCATTAAGTAACTGCTAAAAGAGAACCTTGTCCTTTGTAAGCTACGGTTGTTAGTCATAAAGGTTTTTTTTTAATGCAACCTTGTGGAAAATATAGTACACTAAGCTTTTTCACTTGTTTTCTCTTTGGCAAAACATTTATTTTGGAGTTGAGTCTTAATGCTTTTGGTGGTCAGCTGTGACCTACGGGTGCTATATCTTGCCTGTCAAAATCCAGATTGTGAGGATAATTATCAATGCATAAGTTGAGCCTTCATGTCCAGCACTCTCAGGACCTGACTACTGCAAAATCACAGAAGGGCAATACTGTACATTAGGGAGCCCATTTCTATTTTTATTTCGATGAGAAAAGTAAACAAATTTCCTAGCTCTGTTTAATTGTGTATGGCTATAACAATAACACTGTACTTAAGCCTCTGCCTAGCCAAGGTACGCAAAGGTTACCGGCTTGCTTCATTAAGTTTGCTACTCAGTTTTACAGTACTGACAGAAGGAAATAGATTTTTACTTGGCAGCATTTCAGGTGAGAACATCTCCATACTGAGTTAGATTGAACCTAAAACTGAATCTAAATCTTTATTTCTTCATATACTTTTTAGATGACCATATGTGATAAAACTTTAATAAAGCACAAAGTAATGTGCCCTGCTCCAGTTTTTTCTGTTATTGACGCATGCTTGCTGGTATCTTGGAAGAGTTTGTTTAGAAGTATATTAGGGCTAAGTAGGAGCATAGAACATGAGAGCAAGAACAGCAATAAACCTCCCTGTCTATGAACATCTTGATGTACTGTAATAGTGTCCATTTCATCCAAGATGATGTTTGCATAACAAAATCATGCTGGAATATAGAGGTTCAGTCTCTACTGAATTTCATCATGTCTTGTCTAGCCTTGAAAATTATATGAAGTAAGAGGTTCAGATTCAACCTCTTTTCGTTGGTGATTGTTAAGCACAGCTTATAGTATCACATTTCTAAGGGAGAACACGAATGGCGAGAGTTACTTTTGTTTTTATTTTTGGCTTCATAAAATGGGTTATGTAATTTTTTTAAGGTGCCCTTTGTTAAGCTTGCTAAATACTGAAAGTAATTAGGGAGAGTGAGTAATTATGCGATATTTCCAGGATGGATTTAGAGATGCCTTTGTGCAGGATAGAAGTGAAAGCTCTTTCAATCTGAGTGCAAACCTACAAGAATTGCTTTTTACTTGTATGTTTAATGGAATGCTTAAGTCTGGCAGTGTTTACACTTCTCCCATTCTTCTCTTATAAAACCACAAATTCTAACAATAGCAGTCATACTACAGTAATTCACAAGCCAGATGAATTGAATGTTCTGTCCTTCATGTGTAAGCCCACTCAATATACAGTATAGGGCTAGATGTGGAAAACCTTGCATATTTGCTTTATAAAGTATTAGAAATGGATTTTGAGACCCCAAAACAAGGAAGCCAAAATGTATTCAGTTTCCTCGTTGGATAAAACATTTACTGGATTTACCATGTGAATGAGTAACAACAACCTTTTCTTGTGTAGTGTCCGAGTGTCAAAAACGCAGATAACTATAACTGGTGAGTGGTATTATTAAACAGCCTTCATTTTTTCCTTAATCTCCAACATCAATGTCTTTGTGCTTGTGGAAGCCTTGCATTAGCAGTATTTTTAGTAGAAGAAGAAATATTCCTTTTCTTCTGACCAGAAGAGATTCCGACAGCACTAGTCTGGGACCAGTTGGTTGGCACACATTTCTGAATTTCGTCATTTGTCGTGCAAATTATGCAATGCAAACATGACCAGTGTGTTCCTTTGAGGATTTTGCAATGCCTCTAGAAAATGGACCAGTCCTACACTTGTGGTGCATATAAAGTTTCTCCATGCTTTTTTCTGGTCATAAAATCTGCATTGTTTCTGATGATATACAGTACTGTATTGTGGTCTGGAGCAAAAGCTGCAAAGGTTTTTGTTGTGCAAACTATCTGCTGGATACCTGCAGTCAAAAAGATTCAGGTAGAGAGATCTTGTTGTACAAATATCCTGGATAATAGAGCACTGGCCAGCAAGTTTGCAGTATGTTTATACTGTATAGTTCCATGACTTTGTAATTGTAGGTTTGTACCTTAAGCTTCTGTAAAAAGTTTGTTCTTAGACCTGCAATTTCCTTAGATGTACAGTACTGACTTACACAAAATGTATATTAGACCTGTGTTTTTTTTTCTTTTTAGTGATTCTGCAAGATGTCTGTCAATGGTGTTGAGCACCCAGTTGAGGATCATATACATCCTTCTAATGGGGTTCATCCAGATATTCTGGAAAGCAGGTCTGACAGGTGAGGTCTGCATTTCATGTCTTAAAATTGTTCTGGAACACTTAGGATTTTTCTTGTCTTTAAAGCACAGAGATGTTGCATTGTTTTGGAGATATTGATCTTACAGGTAAATACAGGTATATAAACAAAAGACTATCAACTAATTATTTTCAATTTCATTAATTTGTATTGAATCTGTGGAAATTGACCCGTGGCTTTTATTGTTGTCTTTAATCGCATACATCAACATATTAGGCCTGCATATTAAATTTTTTTGTAGTTAGACCTTCAAATGCTGCATGGAGATTAATTCTATGCCTTTTAGTTTTGTAGATATCTCGCCTTTTGTGAAAGATGTACCTGGAAGCCCTTTTACAATGAACTCTGGTTCTTTTAGTGATTTCAAGGTCACAACCAATAGAAGCTATCCCTATATTGCCATTAATGGGGGAAATTCTCTTGCCCGTCAAGAAGGTGAAAAGAAAGCTGGTGCGTATTTGGAAGTAAAGAACGACGCATCCTCCGTGGAAAAACATGACGTTAACTCTTCAACTCTGGCAGAGGAATTGGAGAATGGCAAGTGGGCAAATAATCTGGAAGCCAGGGGTTCGGTAGTTGAATTGAAGTCGATGCCACCACTAGAAACACCCCAGAAGAGTAATGTGCACATACCATGCTCAACCCCCAAAGTTTCTCAGGTAGATTTTGCAGAGGACCAAGAAAATGACTTGTTACTGGAGTTCCCTGCTGACATAGAAACAACCTGGAAGCCAAAACAGGATATTTCCTCAAATAGTCACCACATTGACATGTCAGCAGCACTGCGGTTAGAAGGTCCTCCTCCACCAGGGTCATCCAGATCTCCAGGACCAGATGGACCTTCACTGGGCAGAGGTAAACAACTTGGCTGTGATTTATGGTGGTTGGATTTGATAAAAGGGAAGAAGTATGACTGATTTTTTTTTAGATTCTAGAGCTCAGACAAGGAACTGTTTATTTTCAATTGTTTTGATCACCTTAAGTTTAAGTCTTCGGTTTCATGATTTGACTATTAAAAATGGGGAGAGCTTTTAGCTTGAGACAATTAAAATATAAAAATATGGAATACAAAAACTATTTGGAGTACCCAGCTAAATTCTTGTCTTTAAGTTGCTAGTTGATACTCCTCTGTTGTCTTCCTGTAGTCTGTATTCCTTGATATCTACCCAGAAAGTTGGATTTGTCATAGATTAAATTTTCAGGTAATTTCAGCCATTGGAACTGGCTTTTGTTTGTGGAATTATTTTTGGATTTATCACCAGTTGACCTGATCAGAAATTTTTAAAATTCCCAGAGTTTTCTTAAAAACTAGAATGATTAGACTGTACTTGGTGCATTTCTTACATTTTCTCTAGAAAGCATTTATGAAAGACATTCATTTATTACTCATTGGTATAAGATGTAAAATTTAGCATTGCGATTTGGTGCTCTAATCCTTCAATATATGGTGACCTTTTACCTAATACTTGGAGGGACAATGGTTGTTTTTTAAGCTTCATAAACATCATGGTGATATTTTTATTTAACTGCTCTGTTTTTGTGAATCAAAGTACTAATTTAGAATCTGGAAATTACTCCAATGAAGAAGGCTTTAGACTTAATAATGTTCAATTTTGAATATGCGTCTACTGTACTGTATGTTTAGAATTCCTCACTGTGCTGTGCCTTGTTGGAAGCTACATTCCTTCCCTTCTCTGGATGTATTTTTGTAACATGATCTACCTTGAGCTCTTTTATGTAATAAGTTTTCTTTCAAGGTGTGACACTGTTCTCTGCAGGTGACTTTCATTTCTTGTTTGTGACAAGAGACGACACAGTGGATTAAAATGTCCTCTTAAAAGGACAGGGAGAGTTTTGCTTTGGTTTGTCTTAGCAGCTTTTTGGAATCTTTTAAAAGTTTCTGTGGGATTATTGGAGAACTAAAGGTAACTGACTCATGAAGTGCTGCCCTTGTTCTGGCTTTCCCCCAGAAGGGATATCTCTGGATGAAGCAGTATCTTCCCGGGGGAACACAGTCTTGGCCCCCGCGGAGAAGCTGTGGAGCTGTATCCGAGAGGAGGCGGTGAAGCTGAGGATATGCGAGTCTGGGCCTGGGTCTGAGGACCCAGTGACTATCAGTCAGATGTTCCAGCAGGTGGTAGAGCGACATGGAGACCATCCCGCTCTCTGTGCCAAGACTAATGGTGAATGGGAGATTCTGACTTATAAGGAATATTACCTGCAGTGTAGAAGTGCCGCAAAGAGCTTTCTAAAGGTATTGTATGTTTCCTTTTCAAACATTTCTCTAAAGTTTTGGGGGAGCTGGCTGTGGTCCTGCAGTTTTATGATTAGTAGTCTTTCACTTCCGGAAACGGACTATTAATTTGATTCAAGCTTTTATCCAAAAGCAGCTAATATTTGTGCCTGTTTCTCCAGCAAAATGATCAACTGTGTAAATTGGACTTAAATATCTTGCTTGAGTTACTGCATCGGTGCCCCATCCATGATTTTGAGCAGTCTTGAAGTTCCAAGTCGAGATATCCACTGGGTCATCCTTCTTAGCCCCTTACATCAGGGTGTATGCTGGATAGAACTTCCTTAGAAAATCTTTTTTTTTTTCAAAATATATATGAATGCTCTCACATTCAACTCTTGAGAGCCAATTGAGCTAGTCGAAGCATGTCAATTCACATTTCAAGCATTTTGCTTCTACAAATGCTTTAATTAATGTGACAATTTATGTATTATACTCCACACAAGACTAGATCGAAAGTACTGACTTTAGTCTAAATCTTTTGTGGAAAAAATTATACAGTAAAAATGTAGAGTAACTTTTAGTGCATACACATGAAAATACACATGAATGCAAGCATTGCAAAATATTCAGTATCACCTCTGCAGTGATAGAAACCTCCAGCCACAGTTTCAGTAGTTCCATGAATACTGAAATCTAGCACTCGGGTGTGGCTTGGTTTTAGGATCTAGTTTCACACCTTGGCAAAAGTCTACGTGATGTAGTTAAACTTTGGGGGGGAAAAAAATAAACCTCTCAATAGGATGGACTTAAGTTGCTACCATTCTTTATTTCTGAACCTTTTTTTTCTTACAGCTGGGGTTGGAACGTTACCGAGGTGTTGGTATTCTAGGGTTCAACTCGCCAGAGTGGTTTATTGCCAATATTGGATCAATTTTGGCAGGGTAAGAACAGTAGCTTTAGAATTAGTGGTTTTCTTCAAATAAATATTAGTTTTATTTAACAATTGACATGGCTTCACTTATGTATTAATGGTTTGGTACTTTGAAAATTGTTACAGATAACTTATGCATGGTTAAAAATCATATACTGTACTGAAACATTTGAGTGACAGTGTGATGGTTTTTTTATGATTAGTAAAGGCTGAGGGGTGAGAACATTAAGGAATTCAAGAAAACTTGTAGTTCATCCAGACGCATTTAAATATTTTTTCATCAAACTCAAAGGTTCTAAGCAAGGGCTGTAGTTTAGATGCTAAGTGAACCTTAATTATTCAGCCTTGTCATGAAAAATCCTCCACCTGGCTGGAATGCCTTTTCCAGACCACAAAAAACATGGTCAAAGAGCTATCTTTTCTTCATCCTAAACAAATTCCCTTTTTGTTTGCGATTGTGACCCTATACCCATATTTTGCCACTGGATCTGACATTTAAATGCCCATAACATACATTTTCCATTGTTTATGACTGTAAATAATTAACCTCTTCAAATAAGGCGTTATCTTGAGTCCATGAATTATTCTTGTTACTTTCTGAACAGTATTAATTTCTAGATAAGGTCTTACCAGTGTGTTGTAACATTTGATCATAACCACCCTAGAACACACTTTTTTTGCTATTTATCCAAAGTCTTTTTTTTTTTCTCCAGACATGGAAGAACCCATTTTTCATGTACAATCAGCTACGTAGTGTTATTACATCTTAGTTGAATCACTTTGCACTTGCCAATAGTGAATTGATAAGACTTTAATAAATGGAAACTGCAGGAAATTTAAAAATGTTTCCTATTTTTGCGTTTTCAGCAATTTAAACTAGTTAACTGCTAACTATCCCAGGGTCTAAATTGATGGGTCAGCACAATTCTGGCTATACAGTACACCAATCACTGCTTAGATCTGCCCAATTGGAGTTTGTCCCTTAAGACATACAGCTTTTTGCTCTTTTAACTACTTCTCAATCTACAGTACATGCCTACATTGCCATTACTTTGAATTGAAAAAGGTTTAACTTTTTTTTTGGGGGGAGGCTGTGTGTTTTTGAAGACATAAATATAGCAAATGCTTTAGCATTCTCAGCTGTACTTCTTGCTTAGTCAATCATTTCTAAATGACTTTGGATTTATACATTTTTTGCTATTTCTGTAAACAAACTGGTGCGTAGTTCCTTTAAGATGTCACCCTTCTGGATGACATTGTTCAAGTTACAGTTCTCCAATATGGGAGTACTGTTCCCATTCAAAGTGAAATATTCTAGCTAGGGGTGAATGGACAACATCCTTTATTACCCAGCTCAGTTGGTCTTGAGGAAAAGTAATTTAAACTCTTCAAATTAGTCATTCCCTTAGACTCCAGAAATGTCTTACAGGGACTGGGTCATCTTAAAATCTCGGTGTCTGTTATGTTAGGATTACTCTATACTGTAGTAGTTCAGGTGGGTAGCTGCGTCAGCATGCGTAGGCTGCAAAGGAACAAGTAATAGGTTTATTCCATGCTGAAAAAAAGAAGAAAGAGAACACAACGTTTCGGCCGTGGAGCCTTCTTCAGGTGAAGAAGGCACCTGAAGAAGGCTCCACGGCCGAAACGTTGTGTTCTCTTTCTTCTTTTTTTCAGCATGGAATAAACCTATTACTTGTTCCTTTACTCTATACTGTATGTATTATGAATAAGGAAGGAAAAAGTGAGACCTGTTAAACTAAGGTTTCCTCTACTCTCTACTACAAAAGATAAGATTTTTTTTTGTTGTTCTTAGGGGCCTTGCAGCTGGCATTTACACAACTAACTCTCCAGAAGCCTGTCAATATGTGGCCCATAACTGTGAAGCTAATGTACTTGTTGTAGAGAATCGGAAGCAACTGGAAAAAATCCTGAAGGTTGGTTTGGTCACTTGTCTGCCATTTTTTTCATACTGGGATTCTTATCAGTCTGCTCTTGCTCATGTGGAATACTATGGTTTAGTTTTGACTTTTTGTAGTGGTAAGTAGAAGTGAAAAATGAGTGTGATATTTTCATTAGTTTCCCACTGATTTACTGTACCATCTCTCCCTTTCAGGTTAAAGACCAGCTCCCTCACTTGAAAGCTATTGTTCAGTACAAGGATGAACTGGAAGAAAAGCTGCCAAACCTTTACACGGTAGAGTGCAACTTGGAGTCTAAATTGAAAAATAAGTTTGGAAGTAGTTTTGCTTTTCAAGCTTTAGTTTAAACTAGTCTTAATAAAGTCTTTTCTGTGCACAGAAGATTCAGGTTTAAATCAATCATTCAACTGAAGGATGAATGAATTTTCAGTGTGGCCTTCCACATACAAGATTTATGCTTTATTGAAGGTTGTATCTATGTATCATTCAAATGAGCAAGTGCCTTCCTAATTTCTTACTTCAAGAAATTAAAGTTTTGATTACTGGGGAAGGCTCCTGAAAATATGAATGCCCACAACAGAAGAGCTTAATTTTTTTTTTATAGTCACTTTTTATATTTCTTTTCTGCAGTGGAAAGAATTCCTGGAGCTGGGGGAAGATGTCCCTGATGAGGATCTTGATGAGATCAGTAACTCCCAGAAGGCCAATCAGTGCTGTACTCTCATTTACACCTCAGGCACTACAGGCCAGCCCAAAGGAGTCATGCTGAGCCATGACAATGTGAGTGCTGGTAGTGTGGGTTATAATCCATAGGATCTCCTCCACTGTGGGAGGATCTCTGCTAACCTGGATCATAGATCAAGAACCTACAGTATCTTACAGCCTTCCGGCATGAGCTTTCATAGTGATAGGTTTCTTCAGGTATACAAACCTACACTTGTCAAAAATAAGTTACAATGTGTGCAAGCACAGGTAAATATTTTCTTAGTAGACTGCCCTCCCACGATAATGTAGCAATGACCCACACAGAATTTCAGTATATTGACACTCAATGTACAGTATGAAGAACCATGCGGGTATTTAGCTGCTTCAAAAGGTTTAATTACGGAGATCTTTCCCGTGTAAGTGTAACTTTTTAGGATAGCATGATTTTTGTGGTTTCTTTTGCGACATCCTTTGAGTCTTTTCTTTCTGTGAGCAGAATATGTGGATATATTAAACAGATGTCATATCGTATTTGATTAAAAATAGTGAACAAGAATGTGTTCCATGATTTTATCAACATTGCCTTTGGTTAATTTTAGTTTTCAGTTGTTCAGATGTTATATCTGCAAAATACTATGTACTGTAACTGAACCTTTTAATGTCTCTTTGGAGCTTCTAAAAACTTCAGATTTCCAAATTCTATGGAGATGCTTGTCTGTTTGAAAAATAGTTCTCGGCCATTTACTGTATGATTGATTATTTAACTAGAATTCAGGAGAAAATGTTCCTGAGAAACAAGTTTTGGGAACTCCTATAAATAGGAACTTGGATTCAGGTTACCATTTCTTTCTTTAGTTATTTCTTTGGATGTTTTTGTAAGGTAATTTTGTGGATCAAGTTTCCTTTATGAAGAAGATTAGTGGGTTGTGAAAAAGAATGGTAATTAAAAACTGTTGTGGTTTATTATCTAGCTGACCTGGGTAGCATACGCAGCTGGAAGCATGGTGAAGCTGAAGGAGAGAACAGAAGTTGTGGTCAGTTATCTGCCTCTCAGCCACGTTGCAGCCCAGGTCAATGACATGTGGTTGGCGATGCGATTTGCAGCAACTGTGTATTTTGCAGACCCGGATGCACTGAAGGTGAACATTGGTTTTTATTTAATTCTTTCTTGCCTATATTAAATGGTAACTGGGAATTTTGCATATACAAAATTATTCTTTTTGAAAGTAAAGAACATGATGTGGACCAAATCTAATCGGATCATTGGAAAGTCTTAATTTTGACTAACAACCACGGATTTCTTTTGCAGAAACTGTAGTGAATGCAATGTTTCTAATATGCCCTGTAATTTAGTTATTCCTTATTCATAGATTCCTGATTAGTGGTCCAATGAACTACAGAGCCTTCAAGTTTTTTGTAGCTGAGTTTTTAAAAATTAAATCCTTAATTGAACAATTAACATAATGTAACCTTTGTTTTCAACTTTGTAAAAGTTATAGATCTTATCAAACATTACAACATGCCTAAGTCACAGATAGGGGCAGCTAAGTTAATTTTTTTTGCCTTGTTATACAGGTATAAGTTTTAAATTTCACAAAACCTTGTGGGACTCTCTCTTGTCACCAAAATCTATCATATAAATGTGCAACAAATGGCTGAATAATTTCTATCAATACTGCTATTTTGGACTGAATGTTTTAGAAAAGGCTTCTTGAAGTTATACATTGGAAATAATTTTTATTTAACATGTTTATTACTGCATTTTTCAGAAGGTCAGTCAATTTAATCTGATTATATAGATAGCCAGAATATTTAATTGGAATAAAATCTGCTTTCAACCCAAAGTAGTGAAAGAGCCACAGAGTTCAGAAAAAAGTGAGCCTATGGAACACACAGCACACACTAACAAGACACTAGGTACCAGCTAGGCCTCAAGTAATATGCTTGAGGTTCCTTTTACTGTCACAGGAGACTGTAGTTTTACAATATTTGTAAATCGGTTTTCCCATGTTTGTGTGGGGTGTTAGGGATCTCTGGTGAACACTCTGCGAGAGGTGCGCCCCACCAGTTTCCTGGGAGTGCCTAGGGTTTGGGAGAAGATGCAGGAAAAGATGAAGGCCGTGGGAGCAAAGTCCTCTTTTGTTAGAAGGATGGTTGCGGATTGGGCAAAGTACATTGGGCTGCAGGCTGGCTACAACTTCATGAATGGGTATGGAGGACGTATGGTATGCTTTCTTAAAAACTGCACAGGGATCAAGAATTGTACAGTAAATTAGGACAAGTAAATGAATCATTAGCTTGTTTCCATCCATCATGTACTACACTCTAATTTGTAGATGGAACCTGTAGAAATTATCCTGTGTATGTTAATTTTAATGACTGTAAAGTTACACGGTATTACTAGAAGGTTTGACCATATGTGTCTTGATTTTAATTTTACTGAAAGTCTTCACCCTGTTAAGACATTTTCCTGTGAAGATGCCATTTTTCCCCACTTACAAAGAGTCTTTAGTGGAAAGTCAGTGTGTTGCAGTTTTCATAACTACTGCATGGAAAGGTTAAATGGTTAACATGTCCCACCTTTTTCTGGATATAGAAATGAGTCGGTACCTTGGGGCTTCATGCTGGCCAACAACCTTGTGTTTAAGAAGGTGAAAGCGGCCCTGGGCCTTGACCGCTGTACCAGGTGCTTCACTGGCGCGGCGCCCATCACCAAGGACACACTGGAATACTTCATGAGCCTCAACATCCCCGTGTTCGAGCTGTATGGCATGAGTGAGAGCACGGGCCCGCACACTGTGTCCCACGAGGCTGCCTACCACATCATGAGGTCAGCATGGGAGGGTGCTTCCAGAATACTTCAGTGGGAATTGTTAAACCTGGTCCTTGAATAAATTTTAGTTGGCTTTGGCAAACCCAAAGGCAGGTTATTTGAAACAGTAGTCATCATTTTGTGGAGTGCAAGTGTTGGAGAAAGATTTAAACTTCCTAACTGTAGCAGAGCAGATTGTTTTGATCTTGAGGCCTCCTTTCACTCGTAGCCCAACCCCCTGTGTAGTCTGTATTTGGCATGAGGTGGCAGCTGTTTCCTTGGCTTTCTGTGCAACAGTGACTCTTGGGACTTTCTTGCACCTGTGAGCCTTGCAGGAAGATCAGTGAGAGGTGCCATGGGAGGTTTAAGTGTGCCCAGTGTTAAATGGTCTTGATGGGTAGATATGTACAGTATAATTTGTTTGCACAAATACTCATTCACTGTGCGAACAGAGGTTTCAGCAGTAAACTGAGGTGATAAATGGTCATTTCAAGAGGGTAAAAGTGATCCCAGGCTGTTTTGGAACTCTGTTAAAACTGGTAAACAATTTCATACTGAAATTGACATACAATTAGTTTTTTCTGTGTAGTGTCTGATCCTGTTGGGAGAGGTGGATTTGCTTGATTTCCATATGTATAATTGAATTAGCAAATTCTTAAAAACCTTTTTTGAGAGGTTTGTAGATCTTGTTTTTAAGGTTCAATTTAGTCGTTGAAGGATTTTCTTGTCGGACTCCAAGCCCAGTATTTTGTAAAGAATGCAAACTAGTGGGCTTCAGATGTTGACATGTTTACTGTACCTTGGTCTTGTTATAAAGCTGTGGCAAAGTGATTCCTGGCTGCAGTACCAAGCTGGATAAACCTGACCAGGATGGGACCGGGGAAATCTGCTTCTGGGGGCGGCATGTGTTCATGGGTTACCTCAACATGCCCGATAAGACTGAGGAAACCCTGGACCAGGAGGGCTGGCTACATTCTGGAGATCTGGGCAAACATGACCAGGATGGCTTTCTCTACATCACTGGCAGGATCAAAGGTATTGAACAGACTTTGCTTTTAGCGTGCATGAGTTCAACGATCCATCTGTTACCCTTCAAGCATTCATTGTACTTCTGACATGGTCTAGAACAATGCTCAAGCCATAGCTGGACCTCAATTAACTAGAGATGACCCTGGAACAGAAGTAAGGCGCATTAATTTAACGTAAATTTAAGGAAATCCCAACTTCAACACTTGATCAATCTCTTAGTCTTGAAGGAAATGCTCTGTATATTAGTTTAGAACACCACTAGTAAACTCTTAACTACTGTAAAAAGATTATTCCCAGATTGCTTAAGATGGATGCAAGTATAAGAGTGTTTATTGGTATATCTGAACTTTTAGGGTTACAAAACAGGCTTAATCGTACTGTATATACAACAATACAATTTTGTAAGGGTTGCATGTTTTCATTGGATATTGCTACATCAGTATACAGTAAGCTTCATAAATATGAATGCAAGTTTATCTTGTATCAGGGTACTATGGCACCTGCCATAAACATGATGTATAACTTTAAACTAAAATCACTTTTTATGTCAAAATCTGACTTAAAATGTTTTGTGGCACATTTCCTTTTGAATTTTTGTACTAGCTTAAAGGGCTAAATACAATCTTTTGATAAATGGTTGTAAGCCTAATGTAAATGGTAAAGCATTTATAAACTGAACAGCAATGTTTTACCACCTTCAGAAACCATGCAGTTAAATTTAAGTGATGTATTGAGACAAAACTAAAACTGGGGGAAAAACACTGAACTAAAACTAATGGCAAAGCTTTACTCATTATCCTCTAAAATGAATATATTACATTGTTAACATCTGACTTTAAAGAAATTGGGAAATAGAATTGTTTACCAATGATAAGACACATTATAGTGCAATCTTGCCTTAAAAAAAATCTGGCAATATATGGTTATTTTACATTCTAATCAATAGCTGTTGTATGATGTAATGGTTGGAATATCACTTAATTCACCCATATTGGCCTGTCTTTTTCATACAACCTACTGTACTGTAGTATTATGAATCGGTCATAATCTGGTGGGATTTGTCCATTTCTAATATCAGCACAGCTGTAACTAATAAACCATGTTTAAAACATAACCATAATAAACCATAAACCAGTATGTTGGAAAACTGCTTAAGTGTTTCGTAATGACAAGGCACTTAAAACTGGAATGATTCAAAGAACAGGTATTAGTGCAACTATTTCTCACCGTTTACAACTCTGTAGACAGAAATGAAATTGTTTAAGTGTCAGGTGTCATGGAGGCTGTTTGGAAAGACCCATATGCTCATCGTGTTTTCTGGCTATCGGTGTTTGCCATCTTTATTCTGCTGTTTCCGTTCCATTGATGTACAGAGCTGATCATCACGGCTGGAGGAGAGAATATTCCTCCAGTTCCCATAGAAGATGCTGTGAAAGAGGAGCTGCCTGTGATTAGCAATGCCATGCTGGTGGGAGACAAGCGCAAGTTCCTCTCTGTCCTGTTGACACTGAAGGTAGGCTCCAGAAGTAATAACATTTGTACCATTTTTATCCTTAATTTAGAGGACATGCACAAGCTCATTAAACAGAAAATATTACTTTAAGACTTCAGTATAGATCGGCGCGTCTCCTTGTTAAATGTCAGGTACTGTATTTGTCATTTTGTCAAAACAGGGTTAGGGTTTCTTCACCATCAGCCTGATCAAAAGTTTAACTATAAGGTTGTGCCAGTTGGTCTTTCCACTGTAGCTTTTGGAGCTGCTGTAAGTATGTTTCTTTCATACTAGAGCAATGTGGATGATTCTGGGGACCCCCTGGATCAACTGACCCCCCATGCCGTGGAATTCTTCAAGCAGCTGGACTGCAAAGCTACTCGGGTATCTGAGATCACAGCCAATATGAATCCCTCTGTTTTCAAAGCCATCCAGGATGGAATAGACAGGGTTAACAGCAGGGCCACTTCAAATGCACAGAAGATCCAAAAGTGGACCATCTTACAAAGAGACTTCTCCATTTCAGGGGGAGAGCTGGGTGAGTGAAAATAAGTGAGAACTTCAATCAATGTGATGTGTTGTATTCTGTATGTGTACAAGTTAAAGAGGGATTTAGCAATAAATCCCTTTTTTAAAACAACTGCATTTTTAACAAGACTTTGAAATACCCATTGAAGTCCCAGCTAAAGCAGTAAAAGAACTCAGATCTGTTCAATGTACAATAGAAAGTAATTTGTTGTAAGTTCAATGTTAAATAAGTAATTTTAATAGACAAATATGGGAGACCTAGTATAATCTTTAACAAAAGATGGGAGTAGTGTAGCCATAATGTACACTTTTTTTTTTAATGGGATGTATCCAAGTTGAACTTGGATGTGAACTGTGTAATTGTGGGTTTAAAGTCTAAACTGTTTAGGGATTCTCCTCAGGCTGAAACAAACATTGAAATAAGACTGCTAGATGCAAATCCTCTAATGTTAGGTTACAGATCACATGATCAGTCTGCATTCCATTTCTGAATACCTCCAATTATTTGCAACTGGTTTGGCAGGTAAAACCATACAGCAGGTGATCTTTAAAAAATGTTTTAAGGTACATGTATGACCTACTTTTGTTAAAACCCAGGTCATATTCATAAATGTCCATTGTATTTGCAATCCTTGAAATGGAGGAGACCCATAATAAGATGCCGATACCTTTTGGTGAAATCATGATACAGCATTTAAAGAGATGTATGTCTTCATAAATTGTAAGATGAAAGCTCAGAAAGCAAATGTTTTTCTCTTGACTATTTTAAAGGTTTTAAATTATCAACCTTCTGTGGAAAAGAGGAAGGAGAGATGTGTAAACTGACTTCTTGTTTCTCTTCTCAGGTCCTACAATGAAGCTTAAAAGACCAGTAGTGCACAAAATGTACAAAGAAGAAATTGAAAAGTTTTACACTGAGTGACTGCCAAAGGCAAAATCTGAAGAGGAATGGTGAAAATCTGGCTCTTTAAAGCAGAATGCTTTTGAAATGTGAATTCAAATGCTTTTGTTAGGATTGTTCATTTCTTAATTTTGACACAAAGCACTTATAAGTGACTACAGCATATCTGTACTTAAAATTGTTCATGTATGAAGTTTTACACCGTTAAAGTGCACTATTGTAGGTAAGTTTTAATGACATTCTTCAAAATACAATTTGTACACATTTTCAAAATCCTTTTTTGCTGTTTTTATTAAGATCTTGCCCTTGTTGAATTAAATTCTATCACTATCTAAAACCTGCAGTTTCTGTTTACTGAAGTATTTGTCTTAACTTCTTTAATGAAGTATAGCTCATAGCACAATTTATTGATTATTTCTCACTTAAGAAAAATGCATGTTCCAAAGGGCTCCATGATCACCCTATAGTAGCAACTGTAAAGAAATTCTTGATCCTTTAGGGATTTATTTTCAGCAGCTGAACTTTGAAGCTTGGCATTATGTAAAATTACATTTGTTTTCCTTGTTTTGTAACTAAACCTGGGCAGCTTTTAGTGTACCTATTTTTGAATCATTTCTTTATACAGTTAATGTCACTTTGCCACTTATACAGTACTGCAGTTTTATTTTAAACAATCATGAAACAGTACTAGCTCCATGTTTCCATAAAAAAAATAGTTATGATAGAACCCACTCTAGGATACAGAGGGTTCACATTTCTACAAGCTGATCAATAACTAGTATTAAAGGCAATGTCCCTACATTTGTAATTACAAAATGGAGGCTACAGCTGAAGGGACAAAGCCACTGATCCCCTATGGGAATAATTGTATTTGACAAGGAACACTTAGCATCTGGGAAAAGGGGCTTCCAAATGTAGTTATCACAGTTCCACTTCAAAGATTCTCCAAGAACTACCTTTTTGTAATGCTCTATTAATGTACTGCAGTATATATTAAAATTACCCCCAACATTCTCCATCTCCCTACACACCCATTTTGATATCTTTAATGAAGAGGTGTCTGAGGTGAGCCCTATTTTTATAGGAGAAATGTGTGTACAGTACTATAGATTTGAGAAGCATTCAACATGAGCAGGCTTACCACTGTTAAAATGTTTAATGCTTACAGAGGTTAGTGCCTGTAACATTCTTGAATATGACTTTTCTTCAGAAGCATAAAACACAAACCATCACTCATTCAGCAATACATCCACGTCTATAAAGTGCAAACACTGTCAACACCCATGCCAGTTACTGTAACACCACACATTATAGTGCCTGATCAAGTACCTAACTTTTCCAATGTGAATTTTAAAACCCTGAAAAAGACCAATCTGGGCATTTGAGATCAGTTTTCTTATAGCATTAACGGTTTTTGAAATGTAAAATAAGAACACGCTGCAAGCTGTAACTATAATATCACTGCAATCATGCTGTAGAGCCCAAATAATAAATCCAGTTTTGGCTGTAGGCCTTTCATAAGAGGTAAATATTGACAGACGTTCAAAGAAGGTGTAGATTTCACAGCTAACTGTATTAGCCGTATAAGTTGTGTAGCCAAACTTACTACAGCAATAATAGTAAGGCTACTTAAAATCGTAGTACTTTCAAAACATCTTTGAATTTGTAGGAAAAGTGCAAATAAAAAATTTAGAGTTCTACACATTTTTCAATGCAACAGCAGCAGTTGTCAATTACTGTGATGAAATACTAAAACTCAGTTTAAGACGCAATAGTACCATTTTTTGGCAAAAAAAAAGTGATTTGAGTGCATATGTGCTTGGCTTTCACATATATATTGTACATTCACTCCTGAGAGGCTGTGATGTAATCATTTTTTTCAGTGACAATACTGCAGTCTAAAGTTTAAATAGAATCCTTATCTTCTGTATCATCTAATACAGCAGTTGTAGTAAGTCAGTTTCAACTGTCTTTATCACTAGCCAGTTGTTCGTGCTGCAGGCAGAGCTGAGGTCCTGCTTTTTTCATCTTGATATAGGGGGCAGTAATTAAGAAATTGTTTCCAGATACATTAGAAATAAACAACAAAAAATTATGAAACTGCAAAACTGTAATTAATGTAGTTCAAAACTAAAATCCCATTGGGTAGGGATAATTATCTTGTTTTCAGATTTAAAAACTTGATTCACTTTGGGAAGTCACAACTCTTTCAATTAATTAATTTATTTGCCAATGACTTTCTGATTTTGCCAAATAAACTGTTTTGAATTGGCAGTTTTTGTTTTTTGGGACTTTCTGTGCACAAAGTTGAAGACCCAAAGTCATCCATAACAATGGTCTATTTAGTCTATTTAGTTAGGGTTTGCACAGTTCTCAGATATCAGATATTTTCTCTGTGTGCATCCTTAAATGAACGTGGTGGCACTAGTCAATTCAGTTACAACATTTTATAACTTTACATGCAGTTACTTCTCCGCTTGCATAGAGAGCACTCTAATGCAGCATTCAGAAGAGAGGGATGTGCTTCCAGGTAGTGAGAGTTTGTCTTTCTCAGTATTCTGTCTCTAAGCCTTCTGCAGCATCTGTGTTGCGGGACAGCATGTAGTTGTCCATATCTATGGAAGGGCAGTTGTAGATAGAGTAGCGCAGTCTCTCTGCCATGACGGCCTGGCTGGTGTAAGGGGGCAGTCTCAGCTGGAAGAAGCACGTCTGTGCTGTAGGAAGGCCATTGACAGGCTACAGAAGCAGAAGAAAAAATTATTTCTTATTAAAAAAAATTTAAGCCACTACATTCTAATTTGACCCAGTTTTAAGTGTTAGCAAACTGAAGAAGGTTTTCCTCTATGTGAGGCCATTGATCAAGTCTTGTGACATGTCACAGTACTTACAGAATGTGCACCAGAACCAAATTACGGTAGTTTTACTACAGCAAAGGGGATGCATACTTATGCATCCAATACATTTTAGTTTTTGTTTTTCAAAGTGCAGTTTTTACTGTCATATAACTTCCTTCTTTTATTTTCTTTTATATTCACTTTTATTTTCTGTTTGTAGCAGATTCAAAGCCGGAACGATAAGTTGTTTGCACCGGTGAATACTGTACATTAGCTGCACATGTTTAGTATTATATTTTTAATTAACACCATTGAAAAACATTTTTCATTATTTACTGCATGCATATTTATAGTGCATAGTAACCCAGTTAATTTAGGAATATTAAGCTCGTTGCTTTCACTTACCCTATCCACTTTAATAATCTGAAACTTTTGGGTGATATCAGCTGTGTTTGAAGGCAGTCTTGAACGCCCTGATACAAAGCGTAGGAACAGGACCCTCTCCTCATTGGTGAATTCCTCCAGAGTCTGCCACAGCCAGCCAATCAGCTGATGCGTGTCAGTGACATCCCTGTACCGCACAACTTTCTTCAGCGTTTCCACCGAGACCTCGGGCATTCCACATACCATCTGCTCCAGCTGTCTGGCCGTGAGCAGAGACAGAAGGGGCACAGGAATGATGGAGGACATACCCTCCCTCACTGCTGCCACCTAAGCACAGAATATAATGTTATGTACTGTACAGCAGCGATAGGCATCCATTTTCTCAGACCTTTCTTAGTATAGGGGAAAATGCAGACTACTAAAAATGGCAGTCTTTGAAGGAAATGTACAAAGGTAAGTCACAAGTCTACGTAGCTACCTGTAACAATGGAGTCAATAGCTTTAAGAAACCTGATCATTAAGTTCATACTTCCAAAGTATAGAACAGAATCAGAGCACCACAAATCTGCCAGGTATCTGGCAGGTTGATGTGGTCTTGCCAGAAAACAAATGAAGATGGTGAGTTCCCTACCCAGTTATTCCACTGTGAGCAGTCTTGCTACAGATTTGTTTTTACGTTTTATCAAATTTTGTAATCCAAATTGGGCAGTATGGGGGATGCAGTGGTCAGCACGTGTGTGTTTCCTCTGGGTCCTCAGTTTTGTGTTTCTACAGTCGAAAAATATACTGGTAGGCTAAATGGCTTCTGGGAAGACTGGCCCTGGTGTGAGTGTGTACGTGTCTATGTTTGTGTCTGTCTGCCCTGGGATGGACTGGCATCCTGCCTCGATGGGACAAGCTTCGGCTCCCCCGTGACCCTGAATTGAAAGAAGCAGTGTCCAAACAAATGGACAGAAAATGGTAATCCAAATTTCATTTACCTGCAGATCCATCTCATGAAGTCTGTACTCTATAGCTCTTTCCACATATTCCTTTCTGTTTGCAAATGTCAGAGGGACGTTGTACCCTCCAGGAACTACTGGGACCAACTTCCCATCAGCACTCTGTGCAGTAAAAGAGTCCAGTGGAATCATCTAGGGAAAAGACATGCAGATCTTTTTACACAACTGTTTTCTTTTATCCCCATTCACATATAATTCAATTTGTGTACACATTATTTTATTGATACAATGATTCATATTTTTTAGGTTATTCAAGATAACTTCCCACTTTGGAGAGATTGAACTAAGTAAAGTATATAAGGAGTTTCTAAAAATGATCAATGCTACCACCCAGATCACTACTAATTTTTGAGTGGTGATAGTCTCCACTGACTATTTTCTGGAAAAGAATGTAGTTTTCTGTTGCTTTCATTTTGATCATTAATCCCCTTTTTAAAATGAAAATCTGGATTAGAGGTCTACGATCTAACAACAGTGCTATCACATTCTAGCCAGATTTCATCTGATGTCAGAAGCTAAACAAGGCTGGACCAGGTTAGTACTGGGATGGAAGACTTTTAATGTAAACCAGGTTATTGCTGAAAGTAGCATTTATGCACCAGTAGGAGGCACTCTGCTCTCCGGACCAGAATTCTGTGATCCTGGTGACAGGGCACTGTGCAGTAGATGGGGCTACCTGTGTATATTGATTACTATGCATCACCCAGGTGGAGGCTACAATTCTGTAGAGGACAAATATATCCCCTCCAACTTTATAGGTTTATGGATCCTTCCGGATGGAAAAAAAGCAATTTATAAAAGCAAGGAATTATATAAGATATAATATATGTTAAAAGCCACTGGAATCTCCCATTTACTCCTGATCAAGAATGAGTAAGTGGTGATACAGTTTCGACTTTTCAGACGCTGCCTTCCCCCCCTTACCACAGGGAAGTTGTCCTCAGTGATGCCACTGTTTTCCAGATGCAGTATTCCCTGCAGGCTACGAGAAGTGAGAAGGTCCACTTCTTCCAAGTCCTGAGCATTCAGAGGGATAAAGCAGAGTTGCTTCCACACCCAAGGTGCTAGATGCAGATCCAGAGGCTTTTTGGTCCGGACTGCCACAGCCATCAGGATCCCAAGGAATCGAAATTGGATCATGTGCTCCTCTGAGATTGCAGAAGGGTTCAGCAAGAACCTGCAGAACCAATTCCAGTTTGTTCAAATCTTTTCCTAACCAGAGTGTACTGACGATAGTTTAATGAGCTGCAAAGAACATAAATATCTTCCAAAACCTTTTAGTGAGAAAATAATTGTGAAACTTTGTGTCAGGTTTCAGAATAAATAAAAGCATAACGGTTATGGGATGCCTGGCGTCTCCTATGTTTGTATGTTTCTAAGTTAAAGCAGCACAAACAATTGCTTTTGCCTATGTGTCATCATAGAATCATGTAATAGGTTTATTCCATGCTGAAAAAAAGAAGAAAGAGAACACAACGTTTCGGCCGTGGAGCCTTCTTCAGGTGTGAGGGCTCACCTGAAGAAGGCTCCAGGGCCGAAACGTGTTCTCTTTCTTCTTTTTTTCAGCATGGAATAAACCTATTACTTGTTCCTTTGCAGCCTACGCATGCTGACGCAGCTACCCACCTGAACTACTATCATAGAATCAAGGCTTATAGTAGTACTTGAGGTGAAGGAGAAGGCATGAAAAAAAATGTTATTTTTCTAATGAGGAGCTGGAAATGTCATGTCTCTTCACAGTGCGGGTTTACAAAGAGCTGCCATAAGAATATAAGAGCCACATACTAGCCCAGGACACACAGCTATGATGAGTGTAATTATTAGTTGCTCCTTCACATTCAAAGAGTACTGTAGGTTCATTTCTATTTCTATACAAATGCTTAAAATAATCAGAAGGTGCAGTCTCACTCCTCCTAATCTATTCATGTTTTGGAGTTCAAACCTGCTTTAAGGGGAAATTAAAAATGTTTGTCATAATAAAGCATTAGCATTGCTAGTGAGAAAATATAGACTGGGCGATGCCAGCAACTGCTGCCACAGTTCCAGGAAGAGAGCCAAAGGCAAGAACAAGCAGGGTAGATAATAGTTGTACCACTGGTATGGATGGTACAGTATGGCTTCTCTGAGAGGCCAGAGGACGCAGGTCATCTTTTAAATCATCCAATGTCTACTGTAATAGTAACTGATAAAATAGACACCTTTATTTTTTCAATCTACTGTACAATTCATGAGACAATGTTTTTTATCTAATAAAATCACAATAGCCAAGCTTTGGGGATAGCACTTAATCCACACGGTCTTTTTAAAGGTTTGGTGAAAGTTTAAAATATGCTTTTCAAACGTCTTTGAAGGGACCAGTACCAAGCACCAGTGTGAGATTTAAAACAAGCAAACAACATCAATTAGGAAAACAAATCTACTTTTTCTAACCAAAAAATGTCAGAATGATTTTAATTTCATATGGACTGAAAATGGGGCAACTGTAAGGACAAATACAGATGAAATCTGAAAAACATTCTGACAAATAATGCACGTAAATCTGGTATTGTTCTTTGGAGTCTCATGAGACTTTATAACCTACTTTGTTTTTACTGAAAGATTTCACATTTTCTGTCATTTGTACAGTGAATGGAAAGTACTAGAAATAGAATGAACTTTACAAGCACTGTCTGTACCTGTCAGTGTTGCTCCCTACATCAGCAGAACTATTAGGGGTTTGAATAAGTAGGTCCACAACACCAGATTCCAATTCCTGAGGAGCAAGAAAAGTCACATTATTTCAACATGCCTGTCATTCTAAAACAATACATACAGTATACAGTGCCTTGCAAAGTATCTACTCTCCTGCTGTGTCCACATTTTGTTGCCATCTGAGCCCGTAATCATGACACTTTCAAAGAGGGCTTTATAGAATCTACACAATCTACGCCAAAATGATAAAGCTAAAAAAATATGGTAGTGAGATTGCCAGTTCAGGGGCATAATAGTTCGAAAGCTCACATCATTAGCACAATGATCTCTGTTTATGTGTTATCAAAGAGGTTTAACTTCACTTCAGAGACTGACCTTCCAGACTGAGTAGCCAGACAAATCTAGTTAGGGATGCCATTAAGACAACAGTAAATTTGAAAGAACACAACTGTATGTTCTATGGATGAAGTAGAATCGGTTGTTCATATAGTCAAACTCAAAGCCTGGTGACAAAGAGAGGACCAGGATAATTATTCTAGCATTTCTTTGTGTACCTAGATCCCTACACCAAGATTATCATTGATCTAAATCCCTGCTATTTCCCTTGGATCCTAGGAGGAAATTACCCAAAATTAAGATGCCATTTTTTAATCTATGCACACTAGGCATAGTGTAATATTTTGTGTGACCAGCTCCTCATCCCTGAGCCAAATGACAGTTTTGCACTGCGATTCAGTCTCACCTGGCACATCTCAGTGATGGTGTCATCAAATACACCACCTGCATCATCTGCCCCCTCCCCGACAAGCTTCACCTTCCAGGCCCTGGAGGGCAGCCGCAGCTCTGAGGGGTTCAGATTCACCACCTGCCTGGCAATCTGCACAAAGATGGGCTTGCTGGAACGTCCCCTGCAGGAAACAGACCAGGGGAGAATCACAGTAACAAACTGTTGTGCCACATGCACACAGAGACAAAGCAGTTACCAAGTCAGGCAAGTCAGATTTTACTTACTGCTACCATCCATGGTGTACTTTGTGGATAGTAATTCCTGTATAGTTTAGTTTGTATGTAAACATGACATAGTAAATATACTACATTGAAAATAAATATACAAGGTACAATATACCTTGTTGTGTTATCTTTATATAATATTTTTCTGCCATTGTGCCATATACTGTAAGTATTATTAGTGCAGCATTCACTTTTAGTTACCTCGAAATTTGCTGACAGAAACTGCTACGCCTGAATCTTGCCAAAACAGGTGTTAGGTGTGAACATGCTATAAAATCTTTACATAAAATCAAAATATGTATTTGTGATAACATACCCTGCCAGAAAACATGAAGAGAATGAAATATTTCGAATTTACACTTAACAGTAAAGCAGAAAACATAAGTACAGTAGGACGTAAACAAAATTATCAAAGAAAAGTAGAAGCTTCTCATTGGTAGAAGTACTGTATACAACCCTTTTGGTATGGTAATGCCTTATTCTGTCCAGCTGCAAAAGAATATTTAAAAAGTAATTTCAACTGGTCCAGGGGTGCTGTATAAATGGCTGAGCCTGCGCTCTGAACCCAAGCTTCTCTCTCCCCATCTGTGTGTCTCATGGAGATCAAGCTGGGGTATGCGAAAAGACAAATTCCTAATGCAAGAATCTGTATTTGGCTAATAAAGTGATCTCTTATCTTCCTCTATCCCACTGTAAAAAATATATATATTTAGAATCTGGCCATGAAAACTACTTGCCAATAATGCAGCATTACAATATGAATTTTCCTTGTACTATATCTGACTTTTGTTTAATGATGATTTTTTAAAACTGGAATTAAGCCCCATGCAACGTGTTCAGTATAGTCAATTCAATGTTAACATGTTATGTTCCCAAAGTTTAACTGACAGCTTGTTTTGTTCTGAACTAAACACATGGATTGTGTGGCTGTAAATTTGTATACTGAAGTAGGTAGCTGTGTCAGCATGCGTAGGCTGCAAAGGAACAAGTATACAGTAGGTTTATTTTATGCTGAAAAGAGAAGAAAAGAAACACAACATTTTGGCTGTGGAGCCTTCTTCAGGTGTGACAGCTGACAGCTGAAGAAGGCTCCACAGCTGAAATATTTTGTTTCTTTTCTTCTTTTCCCGTTTTATCATGGAATAAACCTTAACTTGTTCCTTTGCAATTAACTGTATAACTTCATACAGGGTAGTTTACTTTCTTACATCTATGAAATGTTGCTGCCCTCTAGTGACTTAAAGCAGAGCTTTGTTTCCCCTTGAACCAAGCTCCTATTTTGCTGTGATAGTTAAGCTATACTGCCATGGCAACCGAAAACAGTATGTTTGCATATCATGGGACAGTAAGTTTCATACCATGAAAATAATACCAATCTAATAAGAAAATACTGTACAATAGCTGTGACTAAAATTGACAGTTATGTTAGAGTTATTTACCCTTTTAGGTGTCCATGAAGTCTGGTTGAACCTTTATGACATAGAACATAAACAGACTAAATATATCTCAGGAGACCTACATGCCATCATTAAGGAGGTACTGTACCTTGCTGAGATTCTCTTGACAGTAATCTGAGGTCCATAAGTCTTGCCCTGTGTCATGGTCTTTCCAATCGATCTCACCAGAGGAAGAGTGTTCACTTTGGGAGCAAGGAGGCCTCTTAGGTGTCCCTGCACAATTGCTGAGGTTCCTGAGCTATAGCGTGAGGCAGAAATCTGCAATGGAAACGGAAAGGGCAGGTACATTGTACTGTAAGTATCATGATACTATATAGTGGCCTCTGAATCAGCCTGTATGAGCAGGCATATGCTACAATGAAGGGGTTTCTTGACAACAGAAGAACACAAAATAATCTTATTCAATGAAGGAAATGAACAAAAGCACGGTGATCTTTGTGTTTATGCTTTTTTTGTTTTTTTCAAGACAAATAACACAGGATATAAGCTTATTATTATTGCCATCGATTTAATGTTTAATTTAAGCATTTTTGTATTCCATGTCTACTTTGTATTCCATGTAACTAGTTAACGTTTTAAAATCCCAATACTAATGACATACATCCAAAAAACACATGAAAAGTAGCACAGTTCAAGAGAACCTCAAGACTGACAGAGTTCTGTGCATTTACACACTTTTACAGGGCAAGAGCAGGCATAGACGAAATGTTTGTAACTGGGGTGCTAAGTTTCTTTGATTACTAAACAAAATGAAAGGCAAAAAGAATAGGACTTGAGACTGCATTAGCAGTACTAATTAGCATTAACATTTATTACTATTAGCATTAACAATCCATTAACATAATATGGTCCTCTAGCTGGTGCAGCACAATGACACTGTGAAGTCGCTACAATAGTATTACAGCATGATAAGCTCATTTCACTAACTGGACTGTAACACTAATTCTACCCTATATGATAGCATAGCAACCTGGCTCCTGGGGTTGAGGTTCAGCAGTCTCCAGGACTTGTACATGAAGTCTGAGAAATGGAACAGGACCCTGAGCCGGGCATTGAGGACCTCGGGACTGCAGCCATTCAGAGCGCTGTATTGAGGGGGCACAGACTGAGGAAGGCCCAGCTGCAGGGGTAATGCACTGCCTGGATGACAATCATAAAGATAGAAGTACAATTAAACATGGACAGTCAAAGCATTTCACTCGATTAAATGTAGCTGAAATTTTTTAGGAATACCAAATTAATATTGAATCGCTTGTTCTTCTCCAGTCGATTTATTTTAAACTTTTTTATGTTTATGACCTATACTGTACTTGTTTATGAGGAACAATACAAGTTGTTACTTGTATTGAGTGAAAGCTCAAGAGAGTCAGGCATCAAGAGCCTGATACAGTACTTACAAAGAAAAAGTGAAACGTAATTGTAGGTCAGCTTGTAAAAATGGACAATGAAAATAAATACTTAAACACAACAATGCTACCACCCCTTCCCTGAGAACTAACCTACTGGATTTGCGTACACATTTCAGTTGGTAAATATGGATAAAACCTTATTGCTCTTTGGGGCTCTTAATATACAGTATTACTGATAACATAAGAAGAAGGCAATGACAAACAGGAATCTATTTCAACTTTCTGAAGCTACAGGCTTCTGTGAAATTTGCACTGATGAAAATGTAATATATTTTAAATTGCTTACGTTTGTGTAATAGCTTTTTCTTGAGGTAATAAGCGTAAGAATGACACAGATGTTGGCCTGCGTCTCTTTAAAAAATAAAAAGGGTTACCTGCTTCATGGGAGCAATATAAGTATTTGATGTAGAGTATAAGCTGCTTTATACCTGGGGCCCTCGGTGCTGTTGAGGGAGTGATCCAGGCAGCACTGTGACAGCGTCCTGCAGAGATCTGCCGGATATTTTTCCCTTGCAGAACGGTCACCAAGGTGGGCTCTTTCACTGGATTTGAATGGCCTAGCCCGAGCTGAAATGACAATTATAAGTACATAAATAAGAAAAACAGAGATACAGGTAAAAAAGAACATTATCGACAAAGGTATTCCCTTATCTGTCAGTTATTTTCTAAAAGAACTAGTAAAGTTGCCAAATGTTTTAGCGGTTTAAATCACAGAGTATTTAAACTAATACCAAGAATGGAGTACTCACCTCTTGCAACACAATCTCAATTAGTTCTGACATAAATAAAATATATTTTTTTATTTTTAAAAATAAATAAAATAAAAATAAAACAAATAGGCTCGTAACCAAAACCTCAGATAGTGAGAACTAAATTCACATTATTTTTCATATACAAGCTTAAAATGCATTCCTGAGGTCTATATAATCACTTAATCAACTAATTTTGGACCTTAAAATAGTACTTAAATAACAAAGTAATAATAAGTAATTTCTGGTACCTACACAGAAATCACCCACTAAATGTGTTACTGTACTGTAAACATATACCTGCACTATTGTACCTGCACTATTGTACAGCAGTGAAGAACATAAATGCATAAACTGGATTAATAAAGAAAATAAAGTCAGAAAGGAGTGACGCTGAAATGATTAGATAATGATAATATCCACAAAAAGAATTACATGAACACACTAAAGAGCATTTTTCCAGGGAGAGAGAAGAAAGCCAGAAAAAATATGGGTGCCATCCTAGTAAGAGCAGACATCGGAGCCAAACACAACTAGTATAAGCAAAAAAGTATTAAAGCGTTACTTGTTTAGCGAGAGGGAACATTAATAACTACACAAATATCTTAACAGCTTGGCACTTGATGGAAAAATCTCTTTGGAAAAAAATTATACAATTATATTTGAATTACAATATGCTTTTTTTAAATACAGTAAATATTTGTCAAATAATTTTAGAAAATATTTTAAGATGACTAGATTCATAGAACTTCTCTAATCAAAAGTTTTGGTTTTTTTTTACCCCAATTACCTGGCCTTCAGAGTTACAACCCCAGCTGTAGACGTCCTCTGTAGAAGAAAGGGCTATTATGTGTTCTGACCCGACAGCAATGTCCTCCACAAACACACCCTCAAGGGCTGGTACCACCTGGGGCCGGTTGTGATTTTTCAGCATTGAGTCGGGGAGACCGAGTAAGCGCTCTGACAGGAAAAGAGACAGATAAACGAGTGAGAGGCTAGGATACTATGACTTGCCTCTAAAGAAACACAACTGTTGTATAGACAGAAATAATATTTTAAGAAGATCCTGAAGCAAACTGAACCTTTTCTGCTGAAAATAAGTGGCTCCATAACACAAAGGTTCTACTTCTTCCAGTCCCCAAAGCTTCAAACTATATTTACTGTTTATCTTATAGAAATTCAGCAATCTTTACCATTGTAGGCCACTAAACAATTATAATTGTTTTTGACTATTTTAGGACAGATACACATAATGAACAAATCAACAAGAGCAAAATGTATAAAAACATTACCCTGTCCAAAAGTGTACACATGTCCATCCTTTGTCAGTGCAACAGAAATCTGAGTCCCACACCCCACCTTTTTTATTCCTTTATTGCACAGATGTTCCACTTTCTAAAGAATAAAAAAAGACTCAGTACTTCACATATTACTTCCACAATGAATCATGTTGTTTGCTATTAAGAGACAGTCATTACAAATAAGAGTAACTATTAAAATAGTCTTAGCTTTTGTAACAGCATGACAAGCTTAATTTTTTATCATATCTGCTTTTCTAATTAAAGCAATGGTTAATACCTGAGGATAGCACTTTACATTGCAGGGGCCTGTTCCAAGTTTCCCATAATCCCCATCTCCAAATGCCCAGACTGTCATGCCATCAGATGACACTGCCAGTGTATGATTCAAACCACAGGACACCTGAAAATGAGCACAGGAAATTAGCTTGTATTGGCACTTTTAATCCCATGCTATTGAAATTAGAGATTAGATTACCCCATTTCAGTGACACTGGAATTCAGGTTGCTAAACTATAACTAGAGTAAAGATCACTAGTGGGTGTCCCTCTTTAACAATTTTTCCAACCAGAGGAAGGACTGCCTGAATGAAATTTTGTCAATTTGTGGAATGAACAACATTTCATCCTTCCTGAAAGTGTTTTTTCTTTTAAAGTGAGAAGGCACCTCACCTCACCCTCCATTTCACTATAGATTTGAGTATTTATTGTATTAGCTAATGCCTTGGGGTCTTTTCCAGGTTTATTAAACAATCTATTCTGCAAATAAAACAATACTCTGACTCTGCCTTTTGCAGATGGTTAGATTTGCAAAATGATTTATCCACTATTTTAATACAAAGTTTTTTGCCCAATAAGACAGAACAGGATTAATTCAAACATGCAGTATTGCTTACCTGACCTATACTGTACCCTTCCAAGGCCATGACTCTTTCGGGTAACATTTTATTAGATGTTGACCTTTGCCCTAGACGTCCATAATCTCCACTACCAAAAGTGAACAGTTTCCCATCAGCTGTGACCACTGCTGAATGCTTGAAGCCACAGGCAAGCTTGCAATACAAAAAATTAAAAAATGATGATACTGTACAAACAAGAAAGTAAAGCTAAGAAAAAAGGTTTAAAATGAACAACGTTCTCCACAAAATGTTACTGAAGTAAATTTGACCAAGTAAATAAAATGGGATATCACAATCAAGTCTTACAGTCAAAGAAGTTTAAAAACCACCACCTATGCTTCTTTTCCACATTAGTGTTCATTTACAAGGACACTTTTGTAAATTACGGAGACATGAACATCACTTCTGCCACATCTAGGTTTCTGAATGCATGAACGGAATTTATATTGATCATTAAGAAACACACAATTCAGTATCATTCAATTGTCCTTGTATGTTACACATTTACAAGAGTATAACACTTGAATATAATACTTATGATAAGAATATCATAATCAAAGTGCAGTACTGGGTTAACTGTAGTTAAGTTTATTCTACTTTTGTAGTTTTTACCATGTTTGTTTTAAAACATATATTAATTTAATTTCAAAGCATGTCAGTCTGTTCGCCTCTTCCGAGAATATTGCTGTGTGGTCACACTAGTTTTGCGGTTCGAAGTAGGAATTGTAACAGCAAAAAACAGATCAAAAGTGGATTTACTGTAGATACAGTTCTATCTAGCTACTCCGCTACACATATTACAAGACACTGAGAGTTTTACAGTATCTTACAGTATTACAGTACTCCCATGCATTCATTATTCTGTAAATAACAACATTTAGGATGGGAAAACTTGTTACTAGTGTACCTGAACCACTTCCTCTCCTTGCAGGGCCTCAATCTGCTTTGGCCTTCTCTGTCTTTCACTGTTGCCGTGCCCCAGTTTCCCATAATCCCCATCTCCCCAGCTGAACACCTCCCCACTCTCTGTGAGCGCCATGGAGTGGCCATCAGACCCGCACGAGGTCACCAGCTGGATCACCACATAACCTGGAGAGAGCCCGGAAAAGCACGTCCAAATAAGGCTAAGTGCACAGAAAAAAGGATCCGATAACTGGAGCACACTAATACTTCAAGTTGCGTCAAAAACACATCTGGAGTGAAGACTCAAGTCAGATTCTGTGATCAGACTTACAAACTATAGTATAGATCTCTTACATTTGTTATGTATTTTTTTGATGTACACAAATATTACAATATAACACCAGATTTTTAGTCAAATCTGATTATAACAACATGCATGTAAGCACTTTGCTTGAGGAATTTATAAGTTATAATAAAACAACAGCAAATGAGGACTTGTTTTTTTCACAATAAGCAAGCATTTAATGCTTCCACTAACTTCCACTTTCTTTTTTAAAAAATGCATATTTCCTACTGCGATTATTAAAGGGACTCAAAGTAGCTTTAAGTTTAAAACTAATCTCTGCACATCCATCTACATAGAAAATGAAGTTATCACTCTAAATGGTATGATATACTCTAAATGGTATGAGACATTGGTAAATCTAGCTCTCTGACACAGTTATCTGATGTTCAAGGTTTACAGCTGATGCTACTAAGGTCACTTTTGGTCAGTTCAGTCAAATGTCAAATAAATGACTAAACAATTTCAACATTACTCAATTTCATCCATCAGTTTACAGCTGCCCAACTGGTTCTAGAGTTAGGGCTGGAATTATGAAATACACTGCAGTTTGGAAAGTGATATACTGTAAAATAGAAATTCATTTTTTAAGGCAAAATGACTTGAGTAATATGCTTAAAAAATAAAGTTCATTGCAATTGTAAAACGTTGCATTGTGACGAAGTCACTGGATGAGTAGATTAAGAACAAAGAGGTCATGGGTACCAGTCACCAAATTTTCTTTAGCTTGAAACACACTGTCTGACAAGTCTTCTAACTAGAACAAATCTTAACTTACTTTTAAAATACTTTAAGGTCTGTGGTAAAGCTGACATTTTACAACACAGCAAAGTACTTTGTGATGTTTCTTAATGCTTCTTAATGGTTTTATTCTGCAACACTAACAGATTTAGTTGTTTGAGCAGGATCATTATTGATATACCTGTAGGAATAAATGGAGCTTGCATCCTCTTTTTCTGCACATTACATCTCTTTATAGCAAGAAATGACAAAATGTATCACTGCAGTACACGAACTGTATGATTGTGAGTTTGTGAGATGATTGTGAGAAGTACAAAACTGATGTACAGTACAGTACAAGATGCCACAATTGAGGAAAACAAATGGCAACAGCAATTACATGGTATTTTCATTTTTACAGGTCTGGATTTTTGTCTTCAAATTTTAATCAATACCATGTTTAACTCTCAACACACAAAAGCACCAGAGGACACTTTTTGTACGCATGTTTCTTTTTCATTTCTTTGAGCACAAGCATAATTTAAAAAGAAGCGGAAACGTCAATGTTTATTCAGAAATGAAACACACTGAAACAAAGGAGGATAAAACAAGAACTGAGCCTTCCTCGGTTGATGGATATACACAGTAAAAGAAGAAAATGACAGCCTCTCTCAGAGGTAGCCTTACCCTGCAAAGCAGAGATGATAGTGGGGGTATAAAGGTCATCTGAGTTTCCTTGCCCAAGTCTCCCATAACTCCCTTCACCAATGGCCAGTACTGTCCCACTGGCCTGAACCAGGAATGTGCAATTTTGTCCGCAAACAACCTACATGACGCAAGGCAAAAAAAAAGCTTGGAACACAGATATCCAAGTTACAAAAGTCTGTATTATCTTGGCCAATTATTGGCAAACCTACAGAAAGCAAAGTGCAATATTTGACCCTAAGAAAAAAGCAATAAATTAAGTCTTGCCAAATGTTAGAATGTATAAAGGGCCTATGTCCAGATCTGTATTTACAGTAAGACATACTAAACACAGCCTAGCTATGAGCATGCAAAGCTAAACTACAAAGCGTTATTTAATGGTTAAGTATTGGCAGATTTTCCTGGAAGCCCTATTACAACACTGGAAGAAGACTAAATAGGGACCTAGTTGAAAAGATCATGCGTGTCAACGGACTATCTGATCAGGACATAATCCTTTCCATTTCTTGCAGGAAGCTGAATGCTCTGTTCATGTTAATAAATGGACATTCACAAAGTGCCGTTCAAGAACTGGAAATGTTCTGTTTTCAACTGTGGTGCACTGAAGGTGTGCAATAACGTTATCCTGCTGTTTAGGTTCACAGTTTACCTGCTGTGCTTGAGAGAGTGATGGGGCCAGGGTTGGTACCAAGAGGTTTGTCCCTGCATCTGCCAGCTGCCCATGGCGCCCTCCCCCCCAGAGGAACACCTCATTTTTCCCACCTTGCTGCCAGTCCTGCCAAAGAAAAGTTACAGTATCACACAGACATCAACACACACACCTACAGATACACATGCAGAAAAGGCGTGCACACACATAAAATACACAGTAGCATGGCGAAAACAAACAGCAGACTTCTAGAATGTCTCAAAAGTCTCTAACTTTTCTGTTGTATCTAGTTCATATTGATATCCAGCACCAAACTTTAAATCAAAGTTTGGAAACCATGTAATAATTCAGTAAATATTGGTATGATCTTTTGAAAACAATCACACAGTACTTTCCTTATTTATTGTATAAAACCTTGGACAATTTTATTAAGCGTCATGATCTGGCAAAGAATGAGTCTATGAAGTTTAATATCAAACAGGCTTATTGTTCTGCTATTAAGCCCCGCTGGCCAGTAATCTACTATTCTATTATCACTCTCCTTTCACTTCACTTTCCCCCAGTCCCGGAGCACTCAAGCTGTTTGGGCATTCCGCCACTCTCTGGTTCCTTCCGCTTGGGTTCTGACCAATCACCAGCCATGTTGTAACATATACAGTATGTTATAAGAATTATTACTTCAACGATGCAATAATTACCCTGTGGACTCACTGAAATGCACATGCAAGAGGAGTCAATTACCTCAGGTCTGGTTGTGGCCCACGACATTAGATGCTCATCCATCATGAAGGTCCATTTACTATTGTCCTATAAACGTGTAAAGGTATTTACAGTAATTTGGTCCCACAGACAACAACAGTGCAGTGTTGTACTGCAACATTCTACGTTCTTATGATTCTTTTTAATGTTCCAATGAAAAAAATGTAATCATCTCCAATATAAGTTTTATTATTCTAAAAATATATTTACTAATTTCTTACAGAAATCTCTTACTGTTGATTTGACTGTATTTTACTTCCATTACAATTTCTTATATTGTACATGAAACACTACATTTAAAAAAACTACATGCAAGAGATATTACTGTACTGTACCATTATGTATTCTCAGTTCCACAATATTGTCAGTATTCTAATATTTTATCAACCAATTAGATGAAAACTTTGGATATCCACACTTGGAAAAAAAAAGAAGAATGCACAATGAGTTATAGTAAAGTGGCTGCAGTATATCACATCACTCTCTGAAATAACAGAATTTCTTAACGGAGGCAACTAAACCCATATAACTTAAAAAAAAGAAAAGCAACAGACTTCAAATTTGCCATGACAGTTTCTTCCGACCTTAATCCCACCATAGTGCTGTAGAATAAGCTTCGCAGCAGTACTTGAAGAGAAGACATGATCAGGTTGAATACTGTGTGTTTATGAAGATAATGACTTCAGAATGGAGTCTACACTGACAGTCTACTCATCTTGTGTGACTGAGTGCCTAGAGCAGGGGTCTCTCACTGTTGTAAATTGTTCTTTTACATAGAGCAATAAGAATTTTTAATTTTCTTATCTATCTTACCAGTGGTCTACTAATCTCTGATTCTCCAGCCTGCCTGAATTCAGGAACGGTGAAGGATTCTGGGAAGGAGGTTCCTTTGGCAAACGCTTCAGCAGTCTTCACTGCGGTGGAGAAGGTGGAGAGCCAGCCCCACTCGGCCGGCCCGGGCTCCAGACCGCAGCCCACATGGTGAGGGGGGCAGGGTGTCCTGCAAAGCAGCTGATCTAAAGAAAGCCCCACTGCCAAGGAGGCCAGGCTTTGGAGGAAGGCACTGTGGATGAGCTGTTCTCCTGAAGTAACATGGCTCTAAGGCAGAACAAAACAAAAGAGTCTTAGGGACAAAAAAAAACTGAAAAAAATTATTAATAACGCTGCTTCGCAAAATCATTTGAACAAGCCTATGGCCCACACTGAAAAGCCCAAATTAAAGCTAACACTTCGACACCACCTGCCTGTCACAGAGCTCTGCACGGCAGGTTTCTATGAAGTCTCTCCCACCCAAATATGTCACCATCAAGTACTATGTTTACAAATTGCAACTGGCAAATGGGTCAACATCTTAGTTGATTTAGACATAGTTTTATTTGCCTCCTAGTGTATGCATCTGAAAATCTGATGCATACAGCCTCATAAACTGTGTGTTTGAATTCCAGTTATGCCGCACATGCTGATGCTGCCTGAAGTCCCAGAACCTACAGTAAGTGATGTAAAATAAATGGTTGATTTGCTATAGGAACTCACTAAATTTAACCCTGGTGTCAGCTTCTATGATCTGCATAAAGAGAATCTGGTTACTTTGGGAAGACGTTTATCCATTTTCAGACTTCTGTTACAATGAAATATGTTTTACAAACTAAAAAACAATTATATAAAAATGTCTCAGGCAGCAAACCTCACATGACACGTGTTTGATTATAAAAAATACTTTTTCGATGCTCTTCTTATGTTCCACAAGTAAGCTTAAAATCATAACATACAGTATAGTCTGAGGCAAGAGGATCAATGAAAGAAACCAGAATGTGTGCCACCCTAGTTACAGTACCTTTTCATGGATGTACTGCTCCTGTAGGAGAAGGGGCAGCCTTTCTAGAAAGACAGCCATGCAGGGGCTTTTGTTGAGCCCCACAATGCCCTGGGATCTTAAGACCATTCGACAGGAGGCTAGGACATGATTCTGAGAAATCCAGTCAGATGAGCAGCGAATCAGCAGCACATCCTGCCAAAAATGGATGGCATGAAATGCAATTGTTAGAAGTGCTTTAAGAATTGCACTGTGGATTTACGCTGTTGTCTCAAGTAAAGTGGATGTTTTCTGGGAGGTGAAAACTTACTCCATGGATTGAAAAATAAGTTACAAAGCTACAAAAATAATAATAAAAATAATTATATTTACACTGTAAATTGACAATACTAAAATCATGCATAAAAAGTGATCTGAAAACATGACATTTTATGTATAAAATGGATGTATAAGTGGAACTTCTGTAAACTTTAGAGATCATTCAGCAGCTGCTTACAGTATATACTGTAAGCTTTATGAACAGCAATAAAAATTGGTCTATTGGTCTTTATTTTACCAACTCACTATCGATTTTTTTCTGTTTGGAAACATTTACCCAACAAGTCATATAATTTGGTCTGGTTACTGTACATATAGTTGTGAAAAAAATGTATATTTCAAGAAATATAAGCTCTTTTATAGTTTGCACTAAAATCAAATGTAATTTTCCAGATAAATATCTACCTTTGACCTTCCAGAGCACACGGCCACCCCAACATCAGGAATCCAAGTTGTGCTAATGACTGATCCCAGGCCTGTCATGACCGTCTGCAGCACTGCACCATCCTGTATGAATTACAAGGATTAAATAGAAATGACAAATAAATTGTGACTGTGATGTAAGAGGTTAAGTACTGGTTAAGTAAGATGTTGTGAACCTCATTACATTTGACTTGAACTATATAAATGAAACAACTCTAAGCTCACAGTACATAAAGAAACTGAAGCTGGGCCTCTTTATTGAGTATCTCACTTTGCAAATTGATGTTGTTACAGTAAGAAATATTCTTACAAAACTGAGTGAATACAAAAGAAAAGGTCCAATATACAGTACAGTAGATTAGTCTTGTGCATCCTGTAAGGCCTGGTGCAGATGCCTATGTAGAAGGATGTTATGTGTATCATTAGGATTTTAATTGCTGGAGCACGATGATTGACACTTATGGCACCAGGTGCCTTATATCACCAGGGTCCAGGGTTTGATTCTGCTCAGTTGTTCTTTTAAAAATGGAGTTTGCATGGTCTTTCTGGGTTTACATCGATTTTCTTCAGTTGCTCTTAGTTCCTCTATGTTCACAAAAACACATCTTAGTCAAAGCTGAGTAGCTACTCTAAACTGACCCACTGCATTGTTCGATATCTTGTTCCCCCTTACTTTGTCATGACAGTAATGACATTTTTCTGGTCATGCATGGGATACATTTGATTGGTGTTCATTTTAGCATGGCGGTGTTTTATTTTATTTGATTACAGTGAAGTTCTGTAGGTATGAAGAAAATAAAATATACTTGGAAAAATGTAAATCATATGCATTTATATTATTTCTTACTTATTCCATAAACTAGGCTTTCCAAGCAGATTTTATAGGTAGGTTTTATATAATTAATAGCTTAATAGCAATTAGGAGAAGGGTTAAAGTAATCAAATTAAAGCTAAATTAGTGAAAGCCAGCCCTTCTAACCCGGAGAATTTCTTGGTTTCTGGACCCCAAAGAAACCCTATCACATTTATCTAGTAATACTTCCTTTTGCAAAACTGAACTAAAAACTGCTTACCCAAAGAGACCAAATGTTAATGAGGCCCCCTATTCCTCCAGACAATAAAGCCATCCCATCGGAACTGAAAGACAGCGTCTTTACAGCTGTGATGTGACCGTACAGTCTGAAGACACACTTTGCATTGCCACGCTGCTGATGCTGTTAGGAAAAAAAGACAAAGTGAAAAATAAAAAAACACCGGAAAATATTGCCACTTACATGGAAAACAACACTGAATTATGTAATAATTCCTATCGTATGTATGTGTCATGCTTAATTAAAAAAATGAAAACTGTATCATTAATGATCTGATAGAATATTAATGATCTTTAATGATTTGTTACAGGACAAATCATTGTGAAAGATTAAATTCATCTCAAGCACTTCCCCGGAGAAACTTCATTACCTCTGTGATCTTCTCTCTGTTCTGTTTGGTGTTCAGAAAGTTAGGTAATGATGCTGCAGTGCCCCCTTGTGGTAATGTCCATATACACAGCAAGCCATTTTGACAGCCCCTACAAAAATAAATGCAGAAACCAATGATTGAAATTAATCATGTTAAATGATATGAATTACAAATTTTCATCACAATGAAACACAGGTGTTCTTCTCATTATGGGCACTGTCGCACATGTAAACTAGAATAATGCAAATATGTGTATAAAAAAGGTATATATGTACTGTATTATGTGGTGTAGATTGACACAGTGTTTAGCATTGCTGCTTCACAGCAATGTGAAACCCAGGATGGGTTGAATCCCGGACCTATGGTGTAATCTGTGTCGAGTTTTTATGTTCTCCCTGTATTCATGTGAGTTTCCTCTGGGTGCTCTGGTTTTCTCCCATAGTCCAAAAAACAAATATTGGCAAGTTAATTGGCCTGGTGTGAGTGTGTGCATGTCTGTGCTTATGTCTGTCTGCCCTGTGATGTACTGGCATCCCCATTCAGGGTGTACTCTTCTCTGCTTGCTGAGAGGATAGCCTCTGGCTCCTCCACAGCCCTAAACTGGAAGGAGTGCCTAGGAATGGGTGGATGGATGAGTGGATATACAGTAAGGTGTGGAATATTGGTGGGGACATGTATAGAACATTTTACTGTATAGACATGTTGAACATAGTATTACTGTAGCTGTTGCCAGTTTTTTGGCCTCATTGTATCTCTGTAGCTAAACACAGCAGGGTCTGGTTAGTACTGGGATGGATTTCACTGCATCTGGGCTCTCTATCACTATTGCTATCACTAGTGCTTGTTTAGACTTTGTTTGCACTTTAGCTAACACCTGAATCTGAGCAGTTCTGAAACTTACTAATTACAACAGAGTTGATACCAATTACAAATCTCATTCAACATTTAAACAGATGAAAGCAAATTTAAAAACAAGCCTCAAGGAGAAAACTGAATCCAATTATCCTGTGATTAAAACCTCATCTGGACACAGGGCTCCTCTAGGAACATTACAAACATACATTACTCTCAGGAAAAGAAGGTGGCTGCTTTGAGTAGTATTGGTGGTCTGGCAGGTGACACTCTACCAGAAACCAATACCTGATCAATGAGAATATCATGTTGTAGGAGGTGCCATCCTTTGGAAGAGCCTATAAACCAAGGCTCTGACCACTTCATAGTCCACAAATCCCATGGCTGTGTACTGTTGTGTACTGTAGGTGTATTAACCCCAGTGCCCTAACTAAATCTGACTTGGGCCTTGCACAGTCTGGTCTATCTAAATTCCCCCTTAATTCAATTTCTTACTTCTCCAATTGAACTGCGGCATAGCATGAATGCTGGTGTACATTGGCTGCCATGCATTTCTCCATGTGTCTGCTGCACTTCAGCGGTGGATGAAATGAAATGGGTCTCTGCTACACGTCAAGCACTTACACAGCCAGCATCAGCCTGGGGTCAGGCCCTGTGCCTGGCAGCGGGCACCACTCCGCAGTGTTGACGGCTGCTGTGTGAAACAGCGAGTGAAGAGCCAGCCAGGTGCTGCCCATGCGACCCCAGATCTTCACCACTTCTGTTCTGGCCACTGACAGGAGCAGGTGGCCAGTGGGATCCCATTTTAAACCACTTACACCCTCCTGCACAAAAAAGGTGACCTGTTATAGAACTCACTAGAAAATCAAAATGGTAAAACATTTCTATCTAGACAAGATGTGAAAAACTGCCAATAAGGGTGTGTTAATTTAACTGTTAGCTTAATTACAACAGTGGTACATTTTAAATAACCTGCCAGTAAATAAATGCATGTGCATTTGTTAAGATAATGACTTTTGCTACAAATCTGAGCGTTTTCATCGCTGTAGCAGAATAATAAACTGAATAACACAAGTTGGTAAGGTGTGTAACACAATTAAAATTAAATAATGTATCAGGTCTCTTCAGAAGTAATCACAAACTGTACAAAATAATTTGATCTGCATGTCTTACAGGAAATGCAGACAAAATAAGAGGCTGCTCTGTGTCATAGGGCTCTGTCGAGGAGATCAATATCTTCCCATCTTGGTAACCCACAGCAAAAGGCTTATCTAGTCTGTGCCAAGCAATACACTGTACAGCTGTTAGGAAACAAGGTGACAATATTAGTGGATGTGCCATGACATTACATAAATTTAATATCAGGAAGGTTTGTCTTAGGGGTAGCTCACATTGCAATATTTATCATCACTGGATGAATCTACTGTACATAATGCTTTTTCTTAATCATTGTCTGCTAATTAAAATCCTTGTTAATTCTTTCAGAAAAGAGAGACAGAAGGTAAGATTTAAGATTCAAGTGTGTATTTTACAGACTTTATTCCACACTACTCAGCTGATAGTCAACACAGCAGAACTTGCTTTTAGATCAGTCATGTCCACCAAGACTTACAAGAAATTATTTTTGTTGGGATCACTACATTTTATTATAAAAATACTTTTCACAAAACATAGATAATAAAAGGAAATATAACAAGACATATAATAAGAAGAATATGGATGTTACATGGATTGTGCTGTCTAGATGATGATCAGTTACTTACTAAAGCCTTTAAAAAAGAATCAGTTACTTTTAAAATATTATTCTTATTTTTCATATAATCAGTCTTTTACAATGTTTTCATCTGTCTGAAATTAATCAATAAAGCAAGCTACAGTGGACTGCACAGTGATGAAGTTGCAGACGTAGTATCATAGAAATTAAAAATGAGTACAGTTTGCTCATTTAGATTAAAACGATTTCTTTTAGATTTATTCTTGCCGACTACTTTTGATTATTATTGCAGTAATTTGTCTACTCTGAAACAAAAAGAAATTGGGGGACTTACATTCCTTTCTCTGGCACCATGTTAATTCAGTGCTATTGACACTGAAGGCTTCAGTGATTTCTATCCAGCACAGAGATCCATCCAGTCTGCCCACCAGCAGGTTCTCAGCAGTGCTGGGCCTGTTGGCAGCTTCCTCCTTAGCTGGAGGGCAGAGAGTGCCATTCTGCGGCCAGGTCAGAGCTGTCACCCATGAGGTCTGACTCACCTCGTGGAACTGAGACCCTATGGTAGGTAAAATACAGTTTTCAGTGCACGTTTCCAAAAGGATGAATTTAGTAAACCCAAGTCTTACACATTATGGAAGTGACTATCTTTCCCAAAACCTTTTAACATTCATCACAAAGGAAAGAGCAAAACAACCAGGCACTGCTGTGTTTGTATCAGCACCATTTACAGTACTATAAATGCAGCCCACAGACAATCACAGTGTTGCACACAGTAGTATTTACACGCCTTAAATGTGACAAGTCATTAGAAATCCTAACAAATCCTAGAATGGCTGAGAGTTCAATTATTTTAAGAGATATGAATGAGTGTTTGGTACAATGTTTAGACAATTTGCACATGTGGGACTGAATCAATATCAAAGGAAACTAAATATACTTAATATCTACTTATAATAGATAAGTATATACTTAAATATACTGAATATCAAAGCTGGGAAAAGACTTGAACTCTTCTTACCACTCACTGTCCAGATGCAGACAACTTTTTTTAGAAAAGCAGCCAAATAGGTACCCCCAGGACTCCAGGAAACAGAAGATATCTCAAACACCATGCCACTCTCTGGATTTAGCTTCTCTTCTCTATAGGCAATAGATTATAGAAATTATGTTGATATGATGCACTGTATTTTCTCTTCAGAACTGGATGTGTAATTTATGAACTGTCATTACGTAAGAAATCCCCCAGACAGGCCCAAAGCTTTAGATTTTTTTGTTTATGAAAGTAATGGTGATCTTGTACTGCTTGAAACTTTAAATTAACATTAGCTTATAGCATTAGCAAAACTGATCCAGGAAGGGGATCAAAAAGACAGTAAAAGGTGTCGGCTAACACTTTCATTTAACAACATTTATATTTTAATCAAACATAAAACAATGTAAAACAGTTGAACATCTTCTCTTTAATTCTTCTCTTAAATTGTTCAATTTCTTAACACAGTGGAGAGAGAAAAGCCACTGGTCTGAAACCACACCACTGCTACACTGAATATGTATCTACAAATTGCCTGCTCTCTCTTTTTAATTCACCTTTCGATTTTACCCCTTATAGGGGAACTGCAATGCGACATATTTGTCAACAGATACTACCTACTTGTTAAGTCTGCATGCAGAACACCTTGAAATATTTCTGTGGCAAAATGTCTGCTGCACAACCTGTAGATATTTGCTCGTACATCACATGACATTAGTTATTATAGTGACTAGTGAGCAGGAAGGCCCACATCATGTTGCAATTTGTGGGAACTTGAATACAAGTTTGCGACAACATGGTGACTCACAGTACTTTCACAAATTCACGATTTTGTACTTAATTTGAACTTTGTGAAGTTATTCCATAACCTCAATGAATTTATTTTGTTACTGAGATTTAATAACCAGTCTGAGAAATTGGGACTGACGTTCCAGTTTAAGTCTGTACCTTATACTGCAGGCATGTGTGCTGTGCAATTCCCAGGCAGTCTTGGTGATGTTCCAAAGACGTACGGTTCCATCCTGAGCACTGGTCGCAAGCAAGCCTGTTTCACCAGACCAGCTACAGCTTGTGACCTACACAGAAAAAGAGAGCTCCAATCTATCCAGACTCCAGACAGTTAGAGTATGTACAGTATTATTATCAGGAACCTAACAGCTTCCCAAGCAGAAACATAAAGAAATATTATCAAGTTTTCATGATTGCATTCCCAAACAATAAAATAACAAATATGAGCTAATTTTAGAAATATGGAAGTGAAACGTTATTTGGTACATAGCATTGTTTATATTCTATATCACAACAAAGCACAAAACCCCCTATAGGCCATTTGCTTGATACTATCAAATTGTTCAATTATGGTATTTAAACAATGCATTTTCCAGAATTATACTGAAATAATTCACATTGAAATTAAAATAATTACACATTTCCACTGAGAAAAGAATGGAAGAGCCTTGTCTGTTGTTACCCTGTTATGATGCCCCTCCAGCTTCACCACTGGGCACTTGCGCAAGTCTCCTGTCATGTCTGTGTAGGTCTGAGGCCTGATGGGAGTATCCCTTTCTGAAGCTGCAAGGGCCTGGACCAGCTGCTGAGCTGCCCACTGCCGGTGTTTGCTGGTCAGCCTGGCAGAGAGGCAGCAGGCAGCCAGCGCGTTTGCCAGCTCCAGTGGTCCAACCCTCACCGCTGGCTGAGAATCTGCAACACATACAGTAGATAAAATGTAAATTAACACAGTTTTTCTTAGATTACATACAGTATATTGTCATCTCACAAACCACCTCCATAAAGCCTCACCCAATATTGAGCCAAACATAATATTTTGTAGAATGATAGGAATTTGAAAAACGGAAGAAACTTTATTGAAAACATTATAAGCTTCTCTGTGTGGGGGGGTCTGTTAAGCTCTCACCTTTGACCTCAAGCTCTGGTTTCTCTGGGCTTTGGCGGTAACGGATGCCCTTCTCTGTCAGCAGAGACACCAGGCTCTGAGTAACCAGGAAAGTTGAGGATGTTGACTCTTTGACATCTCTTGCTGGTCCCTTAATTGCGGAAATGAGACGGCGTCTCTGCTGTGGGTCACTGATTGCCCCAATATTCATTCCAGTAGCTGCAGCACTCAAATCCTTGTGAATTGCAAAAGAATAGCAGAGTGTGAGGAGAATTCAGCTATGGGGAGTAATACATTCAAGATGTCTGCTAAGATACTGTATGTAGGTAGGTAAGCAGATTAATAGACATACAAACTTACAAAATTATTTTAAATGACCCATTGTAGCTACTAAATAGGAAAAAGATTTGGCTTCTTTAATTAATACATAAGTTCACAAAATACTGTATATGTATAACTGGAAAGCATAGATAGATTCAAATAATTATAAACAAGCTCAGAGCTCTTTAAGATTCTTCTGTATTATATTTACTTTAATCCATAGGCTCTAAACTCAGCCAATACATTTTTCAAGCTGTTTTCATATTGTGTACAGTACATGTGCCCAGATACGTACTGTACACAATATGAAAATATGAAATATGGAGCAAGAATGCTGGCACTACCTGGGTGCAGATGTCAACTAGCTCCCTATAGGCACTGGGACTGTTTGAAACCAGGCAGCCAATGGCTGAGCTGAGAAATGTGAGGAAGGTGGAGCCTGTCCTCTCTGATGGAGCACTCTGTCCAGATCCCAGGGGCTTTATGGCTGTATGGACTCTTCCTGCTGCTGCCAAGCACATCAGTCGCACCAGTATACGGATGTCAGCAAGTCCTAGAGCCTCCAGGCTACTAGATTGGCTATAAAGTGAAGCACTGAGAACACACGGATAATGAGAATAATAACAGATATTCTGCAAATCCCTCTGCAGAAAATATTCTAAAATAGAAAACAGCTCTAAATAGCTTTTGAAACCTGCAAGTGGATCGCCGTGGGCTTATTATATAAGTTATTTTCCCTACTTACACCCAAGATTTTTCCATAAATCTTCTCTAAAATGTGTGAAAAGTACTTGCTCACTTTGAGCAAAAAAAACTTCTCGAAGTTTTGAAAATGAACTGTAATCAGTTATATTTCATTTCCTACCTACAGTGCAAAACATTGTTAGGCAAATGTAACAATTCAATACAGCAGTCAGACAAGTTGCTCTCACCTGGCAGAGATCCGTGAGAGTGCCTTCATGACCATGCTGTGGGCCAGCAGGACCTGTGTCGCACAGGTGACCCGTTTCAGGGCCAGCAGTCGGTCCTGGGGGTCTCGCAGGGAAGCTGCCTGCTCTCCCAGACTCACTTGGGAAGAAGAAGCCTTTTCCTCCATATTGCAGCCTCCTGCAGAAGAGAGATACACGATCACTTAAACACAGTGTGTAACACACAATATTGTACCTCCTATAATACTACAGTATATATTGTACCTGTCTCTTGTGTAACATGCAATATACTGTACTTTGCCTTTTGTCTGTTCTTTATGCAGATATTGTACCAAATACAATAAATAATCCTTAAAAATGCTGACATATATTTCAGATAAAAAAGTGATTCCTTATGAAGAAACATAACACAATGATTTTGTGTGCTCCTAGTTTAAATAGACATTAGATTTCGAAAGATGTGAGGGATGCCCTAGATTGCTTTCACTTGAACTGTAGTGCAAGTATCAGAAGAGTGAAGTCTTTCTAAAACTATTAACTCTGTGATTGCATAGCTGCTGGAATTGCACAACAGCATGGAGGTAAATCTTCGATCGGCAGTATACTGTTAGAATAATTAAAAAGTGAATATACATGTAATGTAAATAGCCCAATGTAAACACAGAGCCAGTATATAAAGAAACCCATACCTTTGTACAGTAAGCTTTGCTCACAGCTGAAAGAATGGGTAACCAAAGCACCCAGGGGGTCAGGCTCTGTGAAAGGGATGGGGTCTGGAATAAGCTTCTTTTCATTCAGCCCAAGGGGCCCTGACAGGACGCCAAAATCTTCAAATCCTGTCAGCCTGTCACAGTCGCTGTCTTCCCGGTCTATAAGCTCCCACTCATCTGCACAGGCACAATAAGCAGCCTCAATTAGTATTTGTCAAATAAGAAAAAATCATGCAAACTGGGCTGTAAAATAATAAGTCTTCAGAGCTAAACTTAATCATCTGAGTACCTACCGTCTGAACTGCTATCCAATCTTCCAACCAAATCTGAAGCAAAACCTTTTATCCTGTAAATATATGTTTCACCAATTAGACCAGTATACATGGAAAGCTTTTTAACAATCTTTGTAAATACAGTATCTATTTAATAAATGGTGTGTAATAAATGTAAAATTGAGGTTCTTTGCAAAGTCAGCAGAAATGTGATTTTACAGCCTTCCTTTGAAAGGAGTTGTAATTTATTCAAGATGTGCAATTCTTGGTATAATATTTACAGAATTTCCCAAGGGGCTCCAAAATTTACAAAAACGTCCGCCGGTTAACAATCTTAATAGAGTCCATGACTACAGATACCCACCTGCTGGAATTGGAGTGCCAGTTCCCCAATTTAGCAGTGAGGTATTTTTCCCTGCAGGTTCTGCACAGAAGGTAGTAGGGGCTGCCAGAGCCACATTCCCCTCCAAACCAGCCATCCACATACGTGCCATTGCTACGGTAGCCTCGTCGACCTGTACTCTGCCCGCAACCTGGGTGATGGCGTTTCATGTGACTGTTGAATTGTAAGGTCAGAGTGTCACAAAGCTCACACTCCACCATATCAGTGGCTTCAGTATTATCTTCTCCCCCCTGTAACAGTCATAAGGGAAAAAAAGAAATTGGAGGTTCTGTTTGTCAAACATTACATTTGTGGTTCTTCAGATTCTCAAGAGCACCAGATTCCTTCCAAATTCATATAACATGTTCAAACACAAGTTCCTTTTAACTATATTCAGATACCAGAAGAAATGTAAGGGAGATTTCAGGAATCCTAGAGAGTTTTTTTTTCCCCTCACAGTCTTTAGTGAAGAACAGAAAAGACTAAAAGAGGATCTGAATCAAGTATTCAAAATGCTCAGTATCACTGACAAAATGGACTCTATGGGTAGGGGAATTAAAAACTGAGAACAGGAAGCATGTTTGTAAACAAAGTCTGTGGGAGTATGGAACAAGCTACACAGCTTTATTGTTAAAGCAAATACTGTACCCTCGTTTCTTTCAACAAATGGCTAATCCTTGGATCAATTAACCACTAGCAACCAAATGAACTTTATCATTTGGAACCTTGTTACTGTATACTGTATTAACAGTACCCTCAATAAGAGCAAGGAGGATATGCCTTGTTCAACACCTTCATCATGCCTCACCATGCATCAAGCATCATCATGCTACCCTCTCTTGCTCATTGCATACTATATATGAACAAAGTAAAAATAGTGTCTCTTGAGCTTTCATTTAAATTCTACACTGTCAGTAGCACATATAACATAACACTCATGAATTAAGTCAATTGAAAAGATTATGGAATGTTTAGTCAAAATTTGGTTTAACCAGCTTGGCTGAGGGCTAACCTCCTGGTCCATAGAACAGGAATGAGGAATGACCAAGGGGCAGATGGAGATGGGGTGGAGGTGGGATGAAAAAAGATGAGACAGAGAAGGGAAAATAACATACAGTACTTCTAATGTTTTAGGTGAGGAAATAAAGTCAGGAGTGATTGTGGATTATTGACGGCTGAGTCTGCTTGAACTTGGCTGTTGTTATACCTCATGAACTTTTGCTATAAACTCATTAATAACATTAATGCAAATCACTTGCTGCTTTCAAGCAGTTGTGATTATTTTTCTCTAAACAGAAATAGAAAAGTCTGTGAAATTCACTAAATAGAATTAGAATAATTAAAAAGAAACACTGTCTCAATTTTACATAGTAGTATACTCTGGTATTGTCATTGAAACTTTACAAATCAAGGTAAGAAAAAGGCACTGAATATTTAACAAAAAATAAAACTAATGTAGCACCTCAACCACCCAGAGCGTGTCCCTCTCACTGTTAGTGAATTCAGGTGTCAGGAGCTCCTCGTAAGGCTCCTCCTGCTGGGGGTCATCCATGAAGCCCAGCTCAGGTTCCTCCTCAGCAGGGAAAGGATGAGTCTCTGCCCTCTCCGGCCACTCCAACATCCCCTGCTCCCGGCCAAAGAGTGGAGGGAGCAGGTTGGGCGACGGAGAATCTGAGAAATAATCCTCCGTTGTTAAATTCAACTTTGCACAGGCAGCAACTGAGCTTTAGGCCCGAGTCTGCTAGAAATTCAAAGAATGTCCCAAGATGGGTGATTTCTGCTATTTCTGCGACACGGCTGCATCTTTGTCCCACACAGAAGGCTTGCGGTATTTCGTCTCCTAAATACCAACAACCCTTTAATTTGTTAAAGTCTATACACATATGTACTGTACATATTACTATTTATTCTTTAAAGCACTCAAGTTCTAAAATCTAAAGCCTATTTTCAAAAGGAAACTTGATGTTGAATAAAATGTCTTGATGTCTTGAATAAAAACATCAGCCTCTTTCATACCACCTTACCTGCTCTCCTCATGAAAGTCCTCTGCCCCACAGCGGAGCGCTGTCTGCGGGCTGGAGGAGGCCTGTTCCTGGTGAGATGGACATCAAGGAAATTCTCTCTTTCCACTAGGTCTAGACCTGCAAGTAACCTAAAAAAAGGTAATTGAAACCAGTAATTGAAATTTTAAATCAGGGGGAAAGATTCTTTGCCGCACAGTAAAGAACTAAATGTGAACTAAAGTAAAACATGAAAAAACATAAAAATGCAAGCCAAGGTTTTATTTCTCCATTGTTCGACTCTTCTGTTTATTTGATGTAAGTTCTTTATTATTTCACTAGCTTTCACAGAAGTACGTATTTTATCACAGAATAAATTCTTCATAATATGTCCAAAAAATATCTGTAAGCACAGGCCATGGGTCTGAATTTTTATCTCTTATTATCTCAAGCTCTTCAATTCAAATATTAAATTAATAATTAAAACCATGAAGACATATGCAGATAAATGAAAATGCCCATGAATGTGGACAGAAATGGAAATATTTATATTAAATGTAGAAACCAGAAGATTTCTAAGGTCTGCCATGCAAAACGGATTCTGTATGCCTTAGAATAGGGATTTGGCTCATCTTGCCTCATAGGTAGTTACTAGCTTATTGATCCAAGGGTTTCATCCAACCGTTTCTCGAAGGAAGCCAAAATATTGGCTGGGCAGCTAGTTTCATACTCAAACTCCCACAATCCTTTTGGTAAAAAGTGCCTCCTGTTCTTGGGTTTAAATGCACTTCCATGTGGTTTATACTTGTGTCCTGTGGTTTATGTTTCACTGTTTATTTTAGTATGTACTGTACCTGTCGTTTGCCTCAGTGCTGTCCTGGAGGGAGGTTCGTGTGGGAGACTCTGGGCACTGGACAGTCTCTGGTCCCTCTGGAGAGAGATTCTCATTGTGAACGGGGATCTCTGTGGGGGGCTCATCTTCTGACAGGGGATGTTCTAGCATCCAGCTGGCCAGAATCTCAATGGTGTGAGCATCTGCTTCCCCTGTCACTCCTTGGAAAGAAACAATCGAAATAGAAAATAGGCTTGAGAATGATAGTTGTTTCATTTGACTTAAATATTTCACACCCTTCATTACAATCATAATAAAAAATTTAGTTTGACACTGCAATGCAACTTTGTAAGGAAAAGACAGATCTAAAACCATGATTGTGACAAGTATTAAGCAGTGTCCAGCAGCCAAAGCGTAATGGTTGGAAAATGGTATCAAAAAGCAGCACAATATGAATTGGTAACAAGGTGTACAGAAAAAATTATTTAAGATGTATTTTTTATTTTTTTATTTTATTTTAGATGTATTGATTGATTCTAATGATTGATCTGCTACAAATAATCATGTCTAGGCAAGAAAAAAATATATACCCAGACATGAAATTTGATAGGTTTGAAGGGTATGGTCCTTCCCAGGACCTCATGAGTTCATAGAACCAGAAATCCTGGCAGAAGATTTCCCTTGGAAGGAAACTAATCTATAAATAAATTGTGAGCAATCAGAATACTTTGTTCAAGGATACACAGGTCTGTGCTGAAGACCTGAACCCACTTCCCTTTAGTAATGGAACAAAAACATAATCAACATTAAATAAAAACAGTGTCTCGGTTTTTCATAGTACAGTAGTATATTCTGGTATTGTAAATCAAACTTTACAAATGATATAAATGTTTACAATGTTTTCATGTTTTTGCATGCCCTTTATATAACAATTGCTCATAGCCTCATCGAAGCAGATCAATATTTTTGTTTAAAATGTTGGGATTTGGAAAAAGGCACTGTAGAAGATTCCAGTGTACCTGCAGCTTCCATAGCTTTGTAGATGTGTCTCATAGTGAAGCCCATTTCTAGTAATCGCATAGGAACACAGATTTGAGGTCGTTCTGGAATTTCAAAAAGAACGCCAAATAACAAAATGCAACAATAAAACTGGCCTAAAAAGAAATCTTAATCGACAGCACGTGTTGTAAACGTATATCAATGGATCCCATGACTGAAGAAGTAAGAAACTATCACTCATCATTCCCTTCTACATAACACATCCAGAATTTAATCATTGACTTACTGTATACTGTACTAATACTGCATTTTAATTTGCATAATAGAACAGGGGAGTTGGAAGATGGGCTTTCAATCCAAGACTTCTTCATTTTTAAACACAATTAACATTTGTTAATTGTTACATATTTTTATTTTCTAATTTTTATCTCTGATATATAGAGTCTTGTTTTAATAATAGAAATACACTTATTGAAAAATGGACAATACTAATGTAGAAAAATTTTTTTAATTCTACAATTATATAATGTATATACATTATAACAGTCCATGTAAGCCTTTACATATAGGATAACTTCTTTTAACAATAACATTCATTAATTTTTCTTATTTTGGCAATATCACAGGTTAAATCCAAAAATTATTTTAATCACCCAACCTCATCCACCGGGACAGATGGTGGAGCAGAGGTTTTGGGCTATGGACTTGTAATTCCAAGGTTGTGTGTCCTAATACTAGGTGAGACACTTCTGTCACACCCTTAAGATGTAACTCCAACTGTATGAATGGACACAAATGTAAGTTGTTTTGGATAAAAGCATCATCCAAATAAAAATAGAATGTTAAGAGAAATAATATTAGTTTAATGTGCCAAAGTCGAAAGAACAGCAAATAATTTGATAGCAACATTTCTATATACAGTATACCATAGATACAGTATTTCTATGATTGAATACTTGAAAAAATTAGGAATGTGAAATGACCAAAGTGACTCACGTATCTAAGATGCAACTTCATCAAAAATGGTATTGACTTGATTACTTGCGTGTTCTACACACATTTCCTGCAAATTATGCCATATTGAACTCTGTCTTTGTAATGTACTGTAGCTTGACGGGACTTGATAAATAAAATCTGTCACTTCAATTCAATGATCTTTTTTATCAATCTGAGATGCAAATGAGACAAAGTCTGCAAATAATGATTTCCATTTTCTGGTCCAATTATACTTGGCCATTTATTTTCATTTTTGTTTTCCATTTTATTTTTTTTAACAATGACCCAACGCCTGAATTATTAACTTTTTATTTACTTTGCAAGATAGTGTGAACAGGCAAGACTTCAAGCATCACAGAACACACTAAGCATGCTACAATGCAGAGATCACGATGATCTATGATGAGATAGCAAAGGTATTAGAGGCTCTTTCCTTTCAGAAAAGAAAGTCACTGCATGCTGTAGCAAGCCAATCTCCAACATATACACCAAATAGAATTCAAATTAAAAAATTGATGCCATTTGTTTCTGAATACTCCCCTTCCTTACCAGCTGTATTACTGATTCTGCTGCATGATCCTAAGAAGCTCGGATGCTGTTCTGTAAAGCCTTCACAGGAAGCAGAATTTGCTATGTTGAAGCCAGGATGCAACATGGGGTTATTGAGCAGGCCAGCCAAAGTGGGGAACCTTGCTAAGACCATCTGCCTAAAAAATTCAAAACATAGAAGGATGGTCTAAATTCTATTCCAAAGAGAGCAGAGCTACATTTCGTACAGTGTAATCAAAACAAAAGGGACTCAGACCCTGCAGATGCACCCTGGGTTTTTCGGTATTTCTATAAAAGGCAATATTGAAAAAAAAAAACTTTGTTTCCTGTTAATAATATAAAACAATTTCTGTTTCTCCATACCTGTACATGTATATCTGCTTTTCTTTGGGATACAAAGAACAGAGGATTAGATTTTCTGCAAATCAAACCACTCTGGGTTAGCTCACTTGCCCAGGAGCTTACCTGTCACCTGCTTTTCAGCTGATTCACTTACTGTAGAAGAGCTGGAGCAAAAACATCCCAAAGCACTTGGTCAAAGGATTGTCATGTGTGGGTTCTTTTAAATGAAATCAATGGCTTTGACATTTGCTTCAAGTTATTCTGATTAGTGACTTTTCCATTTTTACAGAAAGGGTACATATTGTAGTCTTACTAAAAGCATAATGAAAAGTAATCAAAATCACAGGGTCTCCCAAGCATGAATACTAAACTTGCCTTAATGACCAGCTCAACCTCAGCAGCCGTCAAACACCTCTAACAAACATGTTTTCTTTGAAAAGTAAACTAAACGGCTACAAAAGTATATGATGCAGTAAATCTCTTTGATGCAACTTAAACGTGCATGTACAGCATATGTGATAGGATATTGTTTCAAGTTAAAATAATTTCTTTGAAAAATCCATATCTGCATATTCTGTCTGGGTAATCTGCACTGGCAGAAAAACAAAGGGAAAACATTAACTTAAAGTATGTCTACTACTTCAAGAGCCATGAAAACCCTCAGAAGCAAGTTAAACAATTTTAGGACTCACTCACGAAAGTTGTAACAACACTGTAATGCAAAACATCCATAAACAAAAGTACTGTTAAATATATTTCTGTCTTTGTGTTGCTTCTAGCAATGCTAAACTTAGTGCCGGAGACAGCATTAAGAGATAACTAGGAAACAAAATAATTAATTCAAATCATCTTTCCCGAAAAGCACTAGGCAATTTCCTGAAAGTGGTTCTCTGGAACAGCACACCGCTTTAGTTACAACACTTATGTATGCGTACAGAAAGTGAAGCTCAAACACTAAGAAATGTCCTCTCCTTTCACTGTGCCTATTTGCACCTGCCACCTGCCATAGAGCACTCACTGTAGCAAATTGATGGGAAGGAATGGGTTGAAGTTCTCCAGCCCATCTGCTTGTAGCGCAGAGAGCAAGGAGGCTGCCAGGTCATTGCTGGAGGATGAAGTAGAAGCTGCTGTAGACAGGCAGAATGTGTTGTTTCCCTCTGAGCCATTGCTGTGCAGAGACATTGTGCTTGAAGATTCAGACATTGTCTGGTTTGGAACTTGTGCCGACAGCCCAGATTCTGTCCATAAAACAGAACTAATGTTAGAATTTGAGTAAATAATAAAAAAGCAACATTTAATGGCATTAATTAGTGAGTATAGAATATATTCAATATTTCAATATACAGTACACCACATGCAACTAATGGTATCAAGCTGATAAGCAGGGCTGTTGCTTTTTTATAACCAAAATCTATGAGCAAGATTGCCAAAACTTAACTGCAAAGTGCTCAAAGTAATTTTGTTATCCAGAAGCCTCCTGCTTCTTCCCAAAGACAACCAGCCATCCAAGTTGTGGGTTTGTAATTTATGATTGGCTGATGGATAAAGTTTGACTTTTTTTTAGTACTAGTTTTTTTTTCTAGCTATACTCAAAAAATACTTTGAGTATAACTATACCGGAGATTAGAGTGAATTTAACATACTGTACCCTTTTGATGGTCTTTGGCTCCAGATTCCTCATGCATCCTGTCAAGAGCTCCCTTGAAGAGCATGACCTGAGCTCTCTCTAAGTCTGCCAGGGACAAAGTCTTTTTAATGGGGCATGACTTCAGAGCCCATTTCACCATGCTTCGCACCAGAAACTGGAGGACCGACTGCAGCTCCGTGTTTTCCATTCTGCTGAGATGCTTGGAAAAATCGGGGCTGCTCTGACAGGCAGATTCAAACTTTGGTACTAAGAGCATATCGGCGTATTTACCACAGCTCAAAATGACAGCAAGTGACTTCAAGGCACCAAGCAAGAGGTAAGACACCCGGATAGCATGCAGCTCAGAGGAAGAGAGATCTGTCTGGATTACTGTCTGGGGACATGAGCTGCCTTCCTGTTCAACTCGAATCTCTTTGGTTTCTTCAAGAGATTTTTTTTCCCAGAGGAGCTCTGATGCGGTTGTGTTCTCGGAGTTCATAGCAGTTGCTGTTACTCTACACCCCTCCTCATCCATCATGACTCTGGCTATGTCTTCGTCCAGTCTCCTCTCCAGTTCGCTCTGCTGACCACCCTCAGGACAGCTCTTTTTTGAGGCCCTCTGGATGTGGCCATCTTGCTCCTCCAGCACCCCAGTCAGACAGATCAGGTCTAACAAGACAGAAGGTTTCAGGCCTCTGAATCTGGTGACATCCAACTGGGGAACTTCACAGGGCTCCAGGGAGGACAGTGGGGTGTCGCTGGGTGACCAAGAATTCAGGAAGCTTGATTAGTGGAAGGAGAACCGTGACATGCAACATGGAGAGGGAAGGCAAAAGATGTGGCGAGAAGAAGAAACAAAAGGGGAAAAAACAGAAAGAAAAGAAAGGAAAAGGTCAACAAAAGGGAAGTGGACACATGGAATGGTTAGATGGAAATAAAAGGAGGGAAATGTAGAGCATGCAAAAAATATGCCAGAAGAAAAGATTTCAGCATTGTATTCCACAGTTACAACACAGATAAATAGCTTTTTAAATCAGTGTTCTAAGCTGAAATTAGTTGTATACATTTCATTGTTAAATATTAAGATTTTTCACATTACTTTAGTGCTGTACCCAGACTTACAAACCACTGTTTCATTATTGTATACTATTCAAACTGTGTTTCACTGTCAACTTTTTGCTAACTTGAGATATAAGATTTTCTTTTCATGCTCATTGTACTTGTCAATGGGCTTTATTTTGAAATTAAAAAAAAGCTGTTTCATGGGCCATTATAGCAGTAGTAACAGCACAATAGAGCCCACTGCAAGTGATCAACAGTGAACAATAAAGTAAATATTTTTATGATATACCATAATTTAAGCAAAAATTCAAGTATTTTAGTTTAAACACACATTGTTATTAACACCTACAGGTAAACGTCTTGCTCTCTCTCCAGGTTCAAAGACAAGAAAATAGGGATCCTGCTGTTACATACCTGACAGTCAGGTCAGCCTCCTCCCACTGCAGCTTGGCAGAAGTGCTCCCTTCTTTCAGCACACCCAGCAGGGTAGCCCTCCGGCCACTTGGTTTGTGTAGACAAAGTCCTCCAGCCCTGAGTCCGCTGTCCACTCCCCCAATCACTGCCAGCACTGGCCACACCTCGCAACACAGAGCAGTCAGCTGAGGCTCAGACAGCTTGGAGGGGCCAGGGACCGAGTCTGTGTCTCTCGCGCCACTCCACTCCTTGTCATCTGCAGGACCTTTCTTACTGTGACCTGGTGCCTCCACTGCAGAATAATATTACCGCATTACTTCATCACCGCCACCACAGGGCATCACACTACTGTCTGTACAAAGGAATACTAAAAGATGAGATAAAGGGGTTGAAATAAAGAATGTGAAATTGGTTGAACTCTCAAAGCAATTACCATGTAGCCAATACTGTTGGTTAGAAATAGGCTTGTAAGAAAGAACATAAATACATTTCTAACAGTATTCCTAATGTTAACTAATACTGAGAGTTCTTACAGTATATGTAAATCAAGTTTTTATCTGATATTATCGCATTTGAATACCTTTTGCTTTCAAAATGTGCTCAAGAGAAAGAGATGTAGTATATTCAACACTCAACTATGACTATCTTTTTGTAGCCACTGAATTACATAAACAGGCCACATTTCTTTATTTCATGATATAAGCTGAGTTTAGGTTATAACTCAAGTTTCAAATGCTTTAAAGTGCCTGACTGGGGGAAGAACAATGAAACAGAAGCATTTATAGTACTGTATGTCATCGCTTTTCACGAAGACGACGATGACAACCAAAGGAAAATACGGCCAAATTTACTTTCTATTTCTAAATTTCCAATTGAAATGCTTCCCTTCTCAGAGTGTAGAGCTGAAGCTGCAATTCAGTTTCTTTTTGAGAAGCAGGAAAAGGGGATTGGATTGATCAAGTGAAAAGGCATGAGCGTCCTAGAACATCTGGGAACTCACTCTGTAATTTGCTTGACTTCCCCATCCCTGTGTCTTTCAAGAGAGGCCTGAGGAGCTCCAGCCGCGTCTGCATGTGCCTGTTGATGTGCGGCGTCCAGCTGTCGTGCCGATGCAGCACACGCAGCAGCTGGATGGCAGCCTCCAGCTGGACGATGGCTCGGGGGCTGCACAGAGGCTCCCCCGGAAGGAGGTCGTTGGGCATCCCTCTCATCTGCAGGTCACACAGGGCCACCTGCACTCACAAGCCCAGGGACAAGGGGTACAGCACGTTAAGAAGCATTTTCTGCAAAGCTAAGTTCACCACACTTCACTGACAAGGAAAAACAAACCAACAGACAAACCCCCTGAAAAAAAAACATGAAATAGAGACTCTCACATTAGCAATCTGATTTACAGTAACACTTTACAACGTCACTGTGTTTGATTTTTCTGGGAAAGAAATGTTGCAACAAAATAACAGTGACAAATATTCAATTTTATATACAGTATACATTCTGGTGAAGAGTGTATTCTATGCAGGAATGAAAGCAATTATTCTTTCTTACCCATACAGTGCAACCTGTAAATGTGCATTTACATTAATAACTCTCACATCAGACAGAAGGAGAATAACAATTCATTTTAAACTACAATATTCTTAATATAAATTAAAAGATTTTATTCTGAATTCCATAGACTTGGATTTATATCAAAACACCCACAATTATGAACACAAAATCCAAAAAGTTGCTCTGTCCCACTGACTTTCAGGGTAAGTGGCACTGAATCTGGTCCACAAGGGTATTACACACTGTATATTTGCAGTGTTGTTTCAGTGTAATAATTTCAACCCATGGTTTGGACAAATGCATTGAAATGAATATCTTGAATATCTATACTGTATCTAGGAATATCTAACTGGCAAAGACCAGTTAGACCATCTAACCAACCAACATAACTAGGACAATATATTTATGAATCATCACATAAAGAAGTAATGTATAGCAGAATAATTCAGTATATAGCTAGCATGATTCATCAAAGTTGATTTACCTAGTTTACCTTTTAATTTTTTTACCATTAAACATTGTTAATTGAAACATAATTGGTTGCAGAAAAGTGTATAATTAAAAGCAGCCAGTGAAGTTGTTACAGAGCAAATCCAATTAGCTTGATAGTATAAAAGGTTATATCACACTTTTTATTTATTACATTTGTTTTTTTCTATAATTAATTGCCTATCTACATCCGGTTCATATGAGAAATCCGAAGCAAATACTGTTTGAAATAGAATCCACATGATTAGGTATGAGTCTAAATTGTATTTTTAGGCCGCCTGCTGTGACATGTGAGAAAGTTTCAGTCCAGGCCCATGATTTTCAAACAGCAATGAGATACTCCCTGAGCACATACTTTTTCCCCAGGGTTACTGCTGTAAAACATCACACAAGGGTACAGCTCAGTGGCATCAACACCTTCAAACGCCAGCTTTGGTTCCTAGAAGGAAAACAAATCTATTAATGTATAGTAATTACTATGCCAGATGTAAAATCTGTATTTATTTGATGTCAGTGTTTGCAAGGATTATATTTATCTATTTTTTCCCATTTTCTTTTTGTTGAATGCAACAGAATGATCAGAATTCACATTACTCAATACTCAGATTCATTTGTTTGAAGTCGAAAAAACTACATTTTTCATTCTAAATAGAGCTTGTTTTAACCACAGAAAAAACCCCTATGGGGTGAGCTTGCTGTGACGTGGTAGCTGGTTAAGTCACTGTCATCCAGTCTCCCAGCACCAGCTGCCGTGGAAACTATTTACCTGGAGACTTGGAGCACCTGAAGCTGGTTTATGACTACGCCAGCCCCAGGTGTTCTTGAACGTGAATACTCAGACCTGAGAGAGCTTGGGGCTCTGTCATTGAGTTTGGACACTGAAGCCCTCGAGCCTTGTTTCTATGTTTCCCTAGTTATACTTCGTTCAGTACACTCATGTCTTGCTAATACTTGGTAATTACCCTGTTACCCCTCAGATCAACAGAGTGTTTGTAGAGTGTTTTTCTAGCTCTAACCCTTGCAACAGCTCTTAGTGTTTTCCCAGCTTTGAACTTAGACTGTTACTCAACCACAATTTTTAGATTTGCTTCACTGCTGACTGAGCTCTCTGGTTTCTGAGCTAGTCACAGCACCACGTCTGTCTGCGTGCATGGTGACTCAGCTCGCCTGTCAGAAAGCAGCCTTCTCTACTCATCCCCAGAGTGTGCATTCCCCAATCCCACCGGTTCCGCTAGTGTGCAGCTCTCAGTTATTTCCTGAATGGTGCAGGTGGATTTCCCAACTCGGCTGCTTCTCGCCCAGCAAGTGGGTTCTCTCATATTCCTGGGTTGCACTACAAGTCCCACCTCAGTAGCGTGTCATTATACACAGATGCAGTGCAGGATGGGGCAATGTGCCATGGTCTTGTGGCAGGGATGGGCCTGTGTGACTACCTTGTTGTTTTTGGCGAAGGAGATGGTCCGAGCCTCCATGTCCAGGATGCAGGTGATGGTGTCGCCCTGGGTGAAGGAGGGCAGACAGCGACCCATCTCGCCGCTGTGGTAGAGACTGCCGCTGTAGGCTCGGTACAGCCACATGTCTGTGGTGGTGCGGTGGCTGAAGTCCCGGATAGGCCAGCGTGACACTCCCACACACGTGCCTTCGTTGCCTCTGTTCTCCTTGGTAATGTAAAACTGATAAGACAAGATATCATATTGTCCATATAAGACAAAACAACATTTTTACTGTAGGGGAAAAAACAATAAGAATCAAGAAAGCTAAATAGGTTAAAAATTAAAATATGCATTTAAAAATAAAAACTGTGCTTGCATCTTACTTATTCTGCATCCTTTATGCATCTAATTTGTGCAAGCGACTTTAATTGTACCTTCTTTTTTTTTTCCTTAATAAGCATACCTTCCAAATGAAGCAGCCGGACGTTACACCTGTTGTAGCTAAGCCGTAGCCTTTTCCACCAGACCCATGTGAAAGAACATTTCCACTTTCCAGTGAGCAGCAAACCATTTTGTCTGGATCAAAGGAGAAATCTCCAATAGGAATACATTCATCTTCAGTCACGGAATCCTAAGAAAAAGGACAGTCAATCTAAATGGTTCCACTAATGCACAGATAAAGGCAATAAACATATCTAAGAAAAAAAATTCTTATAAGAAATCTACCAATTACTTTGAATCCTTATTCAGCTTTTTTGCGCAGTACACTGTAAAGTTGTTGAAAAACTAAGACTCAAATTAGTATACTATAGAACTAGCAATATCAATAATAAAGTTCACAAAATACATTCTGAAGTATTTTTGATATTTTCTACATTTTTATCACCAATCCTACAGTTACATTATCCTCCATACTGAATTAACCGTGATATCACTCAAATGATTATGAGACATACTGTATTAACTATACACATGCGAAAAGGACCTGCGGCACACTGAAATCCTGAATGCTGAAGGACGATCAAGTTTACCTGCTTGGAGCTTTCAGGGGATTTCTCAAGTTTTTTGCTGGCAACTAGAGGCTCCTCCCACATACATGTTGATAACAACCCAAAGAGTTTATCAACAATCTGAAGGAAAGCAAAATTAAAAATATTGTATTTTAAAGTTGCACATGGAGTTCCAGCCAAGAACAATTATCTAGAAAATATCTGATTTATGATGTCAAGAAATATCTGGGTGGGGACTTGGGGTGAATGACCTATTAGAATTTAAGAGCTCAAGATGGATGAAATATAGTCTTTATTTTTGTAAGCTACAGTTATCCCTGAAGCCCATACTCAGAGAAGCACCTTGTCAAGGCCCAGCTCTAAGTTAAGTGGCTTGACAACATACGGTTGTTAACATTCTCAAATGTAAATCTCGGTAGAGTGTTACACTGGAAAAGTGAAAGCTAGCTAGGAAAGTGCACTAAACCACGTGGATATTAAACAATAATAATAACCAAACATGCAGAACAGGCCTCACCTGTTTAACCTGCACTGGGTCTGTACATGCAGGTAGCAGGGCTTCCAAAATGTGAAAAGTGAGCAGTTTGGTTCGCAGATTTTTAATAAGTGGAACACCTACCAAGGCAAAAAAAAATATTTAAGACAAAAAAGCCTATGACTGCATTAGTACAGTATATGATACTTGTCTATGTCTATCTGACAAGCAACCTGATCTGAAATAATAAAAGACTAATGAATCCAGACAGAAATACATATACAAGCAGAAATGTGAAACCACGGTTAATAAAAAAATCTAGACTTTATTTATGGAACTGCATGGCATTATTGTCCTTGAATGACAGAAAATTGTGGAAAATTCACAGCAGAGGAAGAAATGGGTCTACAGCAAATGCCAAGGAAAACTGTACAGATAGTATGAAGATGGCAGCCCTCTACAGAAATCATAAGCGTGCTTTACACCACTGTTATTACCTGAGGATCTTTTCTGGGACACCACTGCCATGAGAGGATCAATCCATTTAGCAAAGACAGAGATTCTTTTGGTGCTTTTCAGGGAGACTATCCGACGGAGAAACACCAAGAAATCTGCAAGCTGTGACTCCACAATTCGGCTGCTCCTCACAACCTCTGTTTCAAAACCAAATCATAACACAGAATGGCATCAACACTAATAACAAAAGGGAAACAAAATAATACTACTAGAAGTGATATTTGTGAAATTGTAAATTTAATATATTCAGGAGTTATTTTCCCCAAAACACATACGTATAAAGTACTTATTTAATCAGGTATAACTGTAAAAATATTTTTAAAAATATTAAATATGCATTTAAATATATAAGCATTCATGCTTGCAGTTCATGTCAAGGCGAGTCATTTATTGACACACAACGGTGAGTCAATAAATATGATAACAAGCTTCCAGGATAAAGCATTTATTTTCACAAACCTACACTACACTCTCTCACTATATCTCACTATACTGTATACCTGTACATGTACAGTATATCTTACATTCATTTTTTACTAAAAATGAAACAAAGGAAATTTTAAATGGTGAAAAACATCTTAAAAAACCCACGGAATATAAAGAACAACAGAAAAGTAAAGCAATGATGGTTGAACGTTTCTCATAATTTATATTGTTTTAAATTTTCTCACTTCCTTGTTTGGAGTTTTTGCCAGAAGCGCCGACATCTGCTTTGTCCCCTGTATTTTTCTCCAGCACGTCTAGCTGGTGAAGCACGTGAAGTAGGCTCTGCAGCTGGTCGCACATGACATCCATCAGGGCTTGCAGAACCTCTAGCGGTAGGGAATCTTCACAGGAGCTATTCAGACGCACATAATATTTCTACGCTCGTGACTGCAGATTTTACACAGTCAGAAAGTATAGCAATACTTTTTAATCTGTATAATTTATACTCATCTTGACAAGATCTCACTACTGTACCTTACTATTCTGTTAGTGTATTATAGTATAATCGTATATTAATACTATTCACATATCTGAATGTTTCTTGCAGATTGTGTAATATAGTTTGATAACATACAGTACTATATTCACATACAGTATTTGCTCATCTTTTTCATTTTTGCACCTCGTTAAGTATGAAGGCTTGAATATGTTGTAATTTCTATATTAGCAATTCAACACGGTCTCAAAACAAATAGGAATTGCTTCTCATCCTTTAAATCTAGGAGAACGTATCAGGTTTAATGTACCTGGCAGCAACAGCCAGTATCTGCAGCAGTCTTGCGCTCGCCAGCTTGACCGCACCACTGAGCAACATGTGTTCGGACACTGAGGCAGCAAGCCAGCGCTGGCTGAGGAGCATACAAGTATCGTCTGTCAGCTTGGACAGAATCTCCAAAATGCCGCTCTTGACCATTATAACTAAGTCAACAGGCTGGTAATGGAAATTCAAGGCAAAGAGAGTGGCAAGGAGGAGATGCTGATAAGACCCTGCAGGACAAAAAGGAAAAGAGAAATAGACACAATGATCTTCTCGATCACAATGAAGGACCTAAAAGCGATATTGTTGGGAAAACTTATATCAGTGCAATGTATGCATATCTGCTGGCATTCTTCATGTATGCACATAACTAAAGGCTGTTAAGAAAAGAGTAATGCTAGTATATTTAAATATATTTTCATGATGACTTTGATCTCTTTTTTCTTTCCTTTTTTACACACACCTGAAAGTTCTTTCTCAGTCACAACCTTCTGTGTGAGGACTCGCACCACCTGCTGGTGGAAGGTGTGCGCTGCAGCCTGAAGCTCCTGCTGTGTGCTCATCTTGGCAGACCGTGTTCCAGACTGGGGGAGATGAAAAGCTTAAAATGTTAATTCTGAACCACTTCAACTTCTCATGTACTGTACAGTAGCATTTCAGCAGTGCTCATATTAGGATAAAAGCATCACTTTTACCACACAAAAAAAGTTTTTGATATGGTATAGGACTCAATAAAACGTAATCCTACAAAACCATATTAGTTTGTAAACTCTGGAAAATCCACATAAATAGCAATAAGAGTTCCATGTACAAAACTGGTACCGATTTCAATTAGATATACTGTACCTTAGCTTATTTTTTTAAAAAACATACAGTATAACAGGGACATGCAGTCAATATGCGTCTGACAACTGGATTAGAATGTACTGTAGGCTATCAATCTACAATTTAGCAAAAATACACACTGATCTGTGTTTTCACTTAATTTAATTATTTTAAGGAATTCATTATTATTATATTATCATTTCTTATTCAATTTCATTATATGTCTAATTTCATTATACTATTTCAAAATGTTAACACAGCCTTACAGAGTAATGGTTCATCTTGCTACTGCTCCCTGACTGGTTTGTTGACACATGGGTCCCAAGATCAAAGCAACCAGACAGGAACTGCAGCTGCACTGACTGAAGCAAGCCAGGGAACCTCGGTGGCACTGTGGAGCTGTGTCTCTTATCCTCCATCTCAGAGAGGAAAGAAGAAATCTGGCACAGGGCTTCTAAACGCACCTACAATGAATAGCAGACATTTTGGCTGAGTTCACATCAATTTCCATGTCATATACAGTATCTTACAGATGGATTTGCAGGAATATTTAGAAAGGTCATTAGCACATCACCCACAATATAAGCATATTATGTTACTGATGGTACTGATTCTGATCTCAAGCCCTCTTATTTGCAGGTATGAAGTTATTCAAGCCTTAATGCAAACTTAAAATATAAAGATCCCAATCTGTGAAAAGGTGCACAAAATTAAAATGCTGACTGTACTGAAACAGCAGATTAATTAACGAAGACATCTAAACTTTGCTATGATACTCAACTTTTCTTTCAATAACATTTCTGTAAGACTTTAAATCAATACTGTGTCTTTGCTCTTTATTAGGAATATCTCATGGGTACCATAAGCCATTTTATCAAAAAGTTGCCGACTTATGATAAACTGTCACTTTCCAAAAGCAAAATAAAAAAATAAATAATTCATAAACTGTGCAGTGTGGAGCAGTGGCCATGACCCATGATCAGAGTTCCTCTATTAATTAGGGAATTAGGCAATAGGTTTATTCCATGCTCAAAAGAGAAGAAAGAAAACACAACATTTCGGCTGTGGAGCCTGTTTCGTGTGTCAATGTAATGTAATCCGGGTGTAATGTACAAGTTTTGAAGTGTCCTATACGTTATAATTTCTTTACTGTTTCACTTGTCAAAGTTGATATACAGTAACTGGAACTTGGGTCCCACAAATGGTGAGCTCCTACGGATGAACCACTACCATTTTACACAGTATGAGCGGTTCATGTTTCCTTTATTAAGTCCCTACCTCGGCCCTCTGCTGCTGTTGTGTCATTGCCAGGGTTATGGCTTTAGGGTCTGCCTGGCTGCCTGCCTCCTTCTCTACAAGACAGGACGTCTTCAGCAGGCTCCCACACAGGAAGTGCAAGACTTGGCTGAGCACATAGGAGCTTGAGGCCACACAATGGTTAGGAGTCGGGCTGATGCACTGCCGCAGTCTCTCCCAGGCATCCTTCATGATCCCCAGGGAACAGAGGGGAAGGCCTGCCACAGGAACAAACACAAACAACAACGTGCGCTTAGCTTTTAATTCATCTCCAAAAACAGGCTGGATGGCAATACAGTTAATGAAAGTAGCAAATTTACTATGCAACTAGCCTTGATCCATTTAAAACATAAAATAGCAATATTGTAAATGCAATATATTACACTACAGAGGTAGAAGTTTTCTAATTCTAAATAAGAGATGTATTCATACAAATGAATGTGACAAGAATTAGAAAAAAGGTTACAGAGCAAATTAAGAAATAACTTGCCCATTCTGTTTTTTGAAGATCCAGCTGGAACCCTTGATGGATCTGGAGACTTAACACAAGGAGCAACACTAAACGTTAATACAGACAATGCAACTTATAGGCTAATGATTTAACAGCAAATGTTTTCCATTTTCATTCAACATGTACGTTTGCATGGAGGTACTGTACGTCTATATGCAATACTTACAGCTTTCTTCTCCACTGTTCCAGATTCCACTATGCCAGACATACACACACTGAATCCTGACTTTAAATTAAGTAAATGTTCTCCCTCTGATGAAGAGACTGATTGCCTGCATAACACACAAAAAAAAATTAAAGGCAATCATCTGAATTGTGTTTTGTCTTCTACTTCATTCTCAACACAATATTGTGATAATTGTGACCAATTATCAAGAAAAAAATTTAACTGTTCTAATTTTCTACCAGCACATCTCCCCTCCCAAAAATATGTATTTAAAGTACAACAAATATCTTTAGAATGCTTCAAATTAAATAAAATCCTTACTTCACTATGAAAAGTTTATATTCAAAAGCTTATTTTTACCACTTTTTTTTACAGTGTCCAACATTATTTACACATGTCAACACCTAAGGAATAATGTTAGGGTTAATGTTTTGTTTTGGTTGCATACCTGTATGGGTAAATAAAAAGTAACATGGGCTACTGCACATTATCAGCTTTGGTGGTAATGTCAGATGGATACTAGAGACAACAACACACTTGAAGTCTACAACACAATTTAAACAACTCTGAAAACTCCTTGACTAATAACCACACACAGCATGCAATGTAGAGTTACTCAGCTTCGGTACAAAGAGCACCTTAATTGTTATACTGACCTCTTTGTTCAGTATTTAAAGAATTAAAGAGTTTGCTATACTACAGGACTGCAATGCAATGGATCAGAACACCCACAACCTGAGTGGGCCTGGTCCAAAACATAAGCTTCCCCACCTGCATCCCAGATGATGTGTCTGCAGGTCAGTCAGCTCTTCTCTGTCCTGCCAGGCAGCCCGGACTCCCAGGATGAGGAAGGCACAGCGGGAGATGACGGCTTGGCAAGCAGCCGGGAAGGACAGGCCTTCCTCGGAGCCCCCTCTCTTCCTCTCCCAGTCACGGCGCAGCAGGCTGACCTCCCTCTCGGGGGAACCGGGGCTGTCACTGCTGCTGGGCCGCGTGCTTGTCCCCGACGACTCGTACACCGTCTCAGTCTGATGGAGATGCATGGCTTCTCGTGTGGCCAGGAAACACTGCAGAACCTCTGGAATACAGCCCAGGTGGCCCGTGAGGGCCTGTATTAAATGCAGGCTTTTCCATCTATTATGATCTATTTTGACTAACTGCTTTATCCTGTTCAGAGTCATGGGGGAGCCGGGGCCTATCCCAGTAAGCAACAGGCGTGAGGCGGTGTATATCCTGGATGGAACTACAGTCCATCACTGGGCAAACACAGACACAAACACGCTCACGCCAGGGCCATTTTTCAATTCACTTGCTGCCAATACTGTATGACTTTGGACTGGGGGACAAAACCAGGGCAAGAACAGGGTATGTTAAAATGCAATTTAAACTCACAAAACATAGGCATCCTATGTTTATTAGTGGAAAAAAAATCGACTGGCCAAGCTTTCTTTGCTTCTGTGCCACAGGTTTCCCAGGGCTGTAGTGAAAAAGAGGTGTGGTGTTTACCAGGCAAGTACATACTGCTGATGCTGGGGATGTCTTCCTCCGGTTCCTCATCCTGGTTGTGTTCTGCAGTGGCCGCCTGGCTGCCCTGCTGGCCTTCACTGCCATTCACTGCCCTCTCCACAAAGCCGCTACTGGACACCTCCAGCACCCCATCACCAGGGCTCTGAGATATTACAGAACTCTGCACACACATTGAGACACTCAATCAGAGAACTGACTACACACACACCTCAAAACACTCAATCAGAGAACTGACGACACGCACACATCCAGACACTCAATCAGAGAACTGACGACACGCACACATCCAGA